TTGTACGTGGCGTTTAGGGCTTGAGTTAGCGTCAATCAGTGACGCAAATAGGTAATTATTTTAATCAAAACGTAGCATTATAATAATACATACTTAAAAACATGTTCTTTCCTCGCGGTTCCTCTCATATAATACAAAATGATGAATGTGCACTTTATTACGCGCATGCGCAAACCGCCAACTAAGCATTTCTAACGAAGCTACCTGTTACACAGGCCAAAAAAGCTTCGTTGGGAGCTAACCTTCGTTGAATTTTCTACTCAATTGCTTCGTTATCAACTAAGCTTTTCCAACGAAGGCGGAGGTGTTACACAGGCCCAAAATTGCTTCGTTACGAAGCTTTTTGTCAAATTGCTTCGTAACGAAGCATTTCAACTGGCCTGTGTAACAGGGGTCAGTGAAGTCGTTGGGTTCTGCCGGGGATCTGCTTTTGCCTCATAAGCACAGTGTGTCCCAGAAAATTGTACGCAAATATGGCAGGAATAAATGTGTTTCCTTAGTTGAAAAAATAACTTTTCACATAATAAGGAAAATGTATTTTTCAATAAGGAGTTCAAACTTAAATCATAGTTTGTGCATTACTGCCCGAGAAAGACATTTTAGATGAAATGCCAAGGAGGATTGGCTCCCAAGATCGAAACTTGATATTTTCCAACAATGAAAACGTCGAAATGACGTTATTTTCTGAAAGTATAACCGACTATAGATTCAAAATAAACAGTTCAAAAGAATATTCGAACCAATATCTCGACCATTAGATTGTGAGTTTTGGAATTTTTCGTTTCGTTAGGAAATAAGACCAAAATTCACGATACAATTGTTGAAATGAATAAAGCGACGGCTGTTAACGTTAACGTTAAGGCTAAATCAAAGGGTTAGGGCTAGATCTAAGGGTGAAGACTGAATCAAAGGGTTAAGACTAGGTAAAGGGTTAAGGCTAGATCAAAGGGTTAAGGTTAGATCAAAGGGTTATATAAGGTTAGATCAAAGGGTTATATATGGCTAGATCAGACGGTTAAGGCTAGATCAAACGGTTAAGACTACATTAAAGGATTAAGGCTAGATCAAAGGTTAAAGCCTAGATCAAACGATCAAGGCTAGATCAAAGAGTGAAGGCTGGATCAAAGGGTCATCTCGAACTGAAATAGTGTATTTGAAGCTCCAAGTAATATGAAACTATTAGAAAGGGTAATGAAAGGCCAGGCCATAACAGCTACCTTTGCATTCGAATTTATCAGAGTTTCTCTTATCTTCATCTAAAGCTTGTGAGAGATCTCTTTTTTCTACCAAGGATAGTAGGAACTGTGGATCCAACATCCGGGATCCAACGATGCACCTTTTGGGATCATGCCAATCTTGAAATCTTCACCAGCACCAAAATTGTATATTATAATCAGAGGATGAGTTGATTACCATTCCCGGGTTACCATTAGCCTCTTGGACTCAGAGTATGGTAAGTGATGCATCATGACAATACGTGATGCTTGTTAGTTGCAGGCTCTTACATGCTTACTGACCATGAACATGGGATAAGGGCATTCTAGAGACTTGTTGTCATTCACTTAGCCTCTCTTCAACGCCCTACCAATATGGCAGGTGTTATAAATGGTTAAAATCGGACCGATTTAGTCAATATTGGAACGGTTTATTGCAAACACAATGATGCGTTTGACTTGTTTAGGAGGTGAAAATAGGAATTTCATGTATTATTAGCAATAAATTTAGACCTGCATATCTTGACAGTTAGGTCGATCTTAAGTGGCGAAGATGAGTTAAAAACGGATCATAGCTTTGAAACGTTTGCCCTGATAGCTATAGGTGCTTCTTCAAAAAACCCCAGCGATAATCTTGGTGAATAATGAAACGTCTATCCATGTAGACCTCTACCCAGTGAATCACTGACATCAACGGTATCTCTAACTAGTTGAATGGCCTTTGAAGAACCAGGGATGACAACATTCACTTAATTATATTTCTATAAACTTACATAGTCGAAGAATTCCCGTCATTATAACTCATTACTCATTAGTGGCATCAAAATAATAAATCATCGCAATTGTTAATAAGAAAAGATATATGGTCAAATTAAAATATTCGTTTTTATTAATAGTGTCATATTTAGCTAATCCATTAGATGTCGTGCCTTCCGTGTATGGAACGAGAATTAATCTCTTTTAGATCACGTATATATTTCAATCATATACGAATTCCAAAGCTCACATTATTTTAATCCAACAACGCCTAGGGGTAATTAACAAACAATCCTTCTTAAAATGAAGGTACATGGCCTTTTTTAATCTGGGTTTCGATGTTACAGATAATACAAATTGAAGGTTTCTTAATGTATTCCGTTGATGCTTATATTTAGTGACCTACTCGAAAAAATGTAAACCGTATAATAATGATTAACTTATTAGTAGTGCAATCAGACTAACCTTATCAACCAAAGTCGAAATTACAAATTGTATGATATCAGATTAATAAATCAAAATGCTTTTAGGGAAGAAAAATGAATCCACTTCCGTATAATTTTAGTTTCCTGATTACGTTAATCCAAGTGTGATATTTTTGAATCGTTAGATGTTATCAGAGAGCTGGGTACATTCCATTTCGAGTAAAAGTTTCGTACAATTTGACTCCAGGCCTGAAAAATATCCTGCATTAGTTTTTGTCGTATACGTTGATGGACTGTATATAGAAAATGTTCAATTTGATTTGGCTCATGAACTTTTGCTAAGTATTTTATTAATAGGTAGAGTAGTTTTCCGCAATGTCCTTTCGCATTTCCATGTTTCGATTAAAAGAGAGTCTTCAACAGTTGTAACAGGCTACTATAAGGAGTTTTACGTTCCTTACCATTATCTCATATTAGCCATTATCAAATTAGACTATTAATTTTTGAAACCCATCGCCGCTGTCCACTGGGTCTAATAAGGTTGGGACATATGAACCCTTGTATATTTAAATCAAGAAGAATGAAGCCCAAAAGAGCAAGCAAATAGAATAACGTACACTCCCCCTCATAGGTTTGGCAACCTTAGCTCCCCCACTGAACTACATATACGTTCATAAAGCCTCCTTACGTTTGAATTTTTATTTACTTATCCTGCGATAACATCAAATCAAATGCCAAATCAATGGTTCATTTATGTGACAATTCAATTTGAATTATCACACGATGACGAAATTGTATAATTCATTCCATCTTGTTTCATATCCTTTCTGTTTCCCGCCTTGAAGTAGCTAACAAATCAAGAAAAAACAATTATATTGATTAACTTTGAAAATGTTTATTCTATATTTACAGGATACATGTTCATATTTGTAAGTCTCAAGTCCTCATAAATATAATGCTTTATATGTAAAGAAATAAATGTTATTATCCACTCCGATATATACATGTACATGTTACTTTTTTAATCTTAACAATGGGAAATTCGAGTAAATAACCGTCCAATATTGCTTGAGGTTGGCATTTCTTACAAATATATATTAATAACACATACCCCTTTTCATCCTTATATATTCAGTAACTATTTTTAAATATCTATCATCATTTTTAAAGAGAAGAAGAGAACATGATATTACATTTTCAAAATATAAATAGTGATAAAGCAATTTGTTGCATTTCACAAAATAACCCAAGTGGTTTGGGATAATATACATTTATGGGCAGTTTGAATTCTTAAGTTTTCTTTTTATGAATAATTTTATCTTAAATATCGCATCGATCACGATAAGTGCATCTCATGATTTCAAAAATATTCATATTCCCCTCTTCATTCAATTTGTATTGGCAGTCCATATATTGATGATATACTATAACGTTGTTAAAAAGAAAAATGTTGCGTTGTGCTATTTTGTAATTCCATTAATTGTGGGACACCATTCTGATATGGATTAAACCTTCTATCAATCATATCTCACATTAAATATATTTCAATGCTGACATGAGGATATCATCTTCCCATTAAATATGGATTTCTCACATAATGTTAAGAAATATACAGACAATGGACATTCAGTTTTTCAAGATTTATAACTTTCCTAAATAAAGAGTAACAATGTATTTCGTGACCTATTAAGTGTGAATATATCATATCCACTTACATAAAACATTGAATATAATAATAAATCTGGATCCCTCGATGGTAATTTACCTAGATACAGTAGTTTTATTTGATACAAAGCTCACTTTCTGTAATTAATTAGACATCAATAGTTTGTTATTCCATTAATGTGAGTGAGTGCCCGGGTAAAATCTGAATGACGTCATGGATGAATCATTGCTATTTTGTTTGTTTATATATTAGTACAATAACGTCATTTCGAAGGGCAATATAGTGAAATATTGGACCGAGAGCCGAAGGCCCAAGGTCGAATATTTCAATATAATGCACGCAGAAATGACGTTATTATTAGTATTATTACCACCGTTAATGACCAGGTCTGAAACAGCAAGAACATCTTACTCACTGAACGATATCTAATTTCCCGGGGAAAATTGCCGGTCGAGAATTGCATTCTTGACCGGGCAATATGGACCACCACTATGACGTCACCTATTGCTCAGGTCCATATAGTAAAATGAATGCCCTCTAAACTAGCACTTAAACCCCTAGAACTGGCCCGGCAAGGTGGTAATAATGTGAAATAGACCGACTTAGCGAAAACTCGTTGCAAGTCATTCCGCATGACTAAAGCTCATTTCACTGTTTTATTGCGTCATTAAAACCTCAAAAAAACAGGAGACCATTGTGCAATAATATATAGAAAAGTATATTCATATGAATGACAATTGTATATTTCAGATTATTATTTTTGTGCAATAAGCCTGTGCCCTCTTGTAATTTAAAGAATTCCAGCCATGTTAATCTTGAAATCTTGAAAATAACATGGCAGAGAAGCATCCAAATATAAGAGGCCACATACTTTATTAGCTAAACTAGAAGCAATCCAAGATATACAAATGTCATTTATGTACGATAGGAATATATTTTTCCATATATTATTACGCAATGATCTTTTGATTTCTTATTTTTAGGTTTTACTGACACAATAAAACAATGACATGGGCTATACCTCCAATTCAAAAAAGAGGCCACGTCCATCCACACATCTCGGAGAATAGTGATAATGCTTCTTTAAGTTACACTACAGAAGAGGAGAATTGAATAAAACAAATTAATTTGCAATCTGAGAGAGTTCAGACTTCTCGTCAAACAAATTGAACCTCTCGATGGGGATTTGACTGACATCTCAAATTAGCGTTATCAAGTTTTACACAATATCAATTGGGAAGATTTTCAAACGATGCTCTGTTTGCAGTTAATGGATGATTGTATTTTTTCAAACTCGCATTAATGTCCGCGTAAATTACGTTCTGATCAAGAGCATACAATTCACTTCTCGTATTGAACAATGCCTTTGAATAAAAAAACAGATTAGGTCCCGCAAATCATGCAAATTGATGCTACTAAGTATAAAGCATGAATTCCTGGAAAGAGGCGTGCCCATACATGCTAAATAGTTATTGAGATTATAGGTGGAATTAATGAACAGCATCCAACTAAATTTCCGACCTGTCCAACTGGAAAAACATCCACCATTGAGCTAAATTAAAGAGCCTTGCTCCTATCTCAGAACATCAATACACAAGGACAAAACAGGATCTCTGAATTGTGATAGAGACTAAAGACTTGACAAATGGGAAAAGTGTCGTCAGATGAGAGAATCTAAATTGGGTAATCCCCCTAAAGCTTTCCTATTGCTTGACATTGGAATGTGACGGCTTTTGATATTTATCACTGTTGGATAAATATCCTTTAATTTAGACTTAGCCGCCCCATAATCGTGATTTAGACCAATGATGTTATCCCATCGTTTATCTTACTGTACATCATTTACACATGGATATTTCGTTAAATTTTTGTGTTGCTATATTATAATTTAAAGATTGTCTTGTTGAAATGCCACATTATCAAATACATCTTGTACAGTTGCTCGACTCTTCGTTCCCTTATTCCGCTGACTGCGTTTCGAGAGTGCGTTGAATCTTCTTGTAAATGCGCCCTTCAAAGTCTTGGTGGAATACGTCCCGGGTTTCCTTGATCGTCTGCTCTCAGTTCCGCTAACAATATCTGGGTTGGTTTCATCGAGATCGTCACCTAAGATGTCATAATCTGGCTCGGGTTCTTCATCATCATCTTGGGCTCCCTTTATCTGTTGCATCACTTTTACCGTTTGAATGACATCTTCTATACCAATAGGGTGATACTTCTTGCTACAACATCTTAGACTAGTAGACGCAAGGATATGCAGGAATGTACCATAGCGATGGAACAACATAGACACGAACTGGATAAGAATAATCAACGCGAAAAACACCAGGAAGGCAACACTAAGTGGCTCAAATCTACGTTCATCTCGTCCGGGTCTAGGTACACGTATATACAACGTCTCCTTCAGTTGGTCTTGGACAATATTCAGCAAGAATATGATGAATAACCACAGGAAGTTCAACATGAAGAATAGGAAAGAGGCATTGTTACGTAGTCCCTTAAGATCGTTTCGTATTTTCGTTTCGTGTGATTTATCGAAATTGATCGGATATAGATATTTTTCGATCAATTTCTGCCAGAATTGCGTCTCGCTGTTGTCAAGATATCGTACAGGACCTCTCTTTATTTCCCTTTCAGTTAGCCAAAATGGGTTCACCAAGTCGTCTCGCTCGATTCGAGGCTCATTTGGGATACAGCTATAGTAGGGGTCATCGGATGCATTTGTCTTGCCATACACCATAGATTCGGAATCTTTATATTTATCTCCCCCACCCGCGTGTTTTGGAGTCGAATACACTCTGTTCAAATCATTGCCATTGCTGTTTCCGTTTCCGTTATACTTTGCGCCCGATGGATCAATGCTGTCGAGTTGGCGGACGATGCTTCGTTGTCGCTCATCATATATACTGTTGAAAGCTAAAGATCTCTGCGAGGACCTGTCAGAGTTCTGTCTATCATAGTTCGTACGTTCGTACTCTCTGGTAGACTGGATTAGTTCTCCACCGGGGCCGTATTGCCGTTGTGGCGTCGTATATCCAGACGTTCCATCAGGCTTACCGGCTTCCATTCTCGCTAGCTCTGTCATGATCTCCTTGACAATTTCTTCCTTCTTTGGCTTGTCGTCAACAGCATTGCGATCAATAGCTTTACCACATCTTTTCCTTAAGCTACAGCAAATTCGTTCTAGTAACTTCTTGGCTTGCTTGGCTGTGCTTTTTTCCTGTTCTTTTTTCATTTTTGCCATTTCTTCTGAAGACTGCGCTTTTGGTATTTCCCTCGTTCCCCAAGACACAACGTTCATATTGGTGAGAGAATAGATGAACATGAGAAGAAAACCAGATGGAATGCACAAGAAGTAAAGCATACCCGGTATCAAACATAGAAGTTCTTCGGGATGGAGAAAACCGGCGAACATGAAAATACCACACACGACAATGATGAACATAGCGTTTGGACTGGTCCACGAATCTTGCGCCGTTTGTACTACAATACCAACCGTTACTGCCAACATAATGATAGCGTATGCTGTACTCATATACCCCGCTATGGCCACTTGTGTTTTAGACAAACATTTGAAGCACACAGCGATAAAGAATAAAGCCGCACCAATTGAGAGAGCTAGCCAAAGCCAATAGAGGTTTCCGCCGACAACGACGTGTATAGCTCCAGCAACCATAAGAATAACGGTGGCAGGAGCGAGGAGACTAGCTCCCATTACCACAGCCTGATACATCATGTACAAATAACTGATATTGTCATTGACCAATACAGTCGTGTGGTAGTCTGAGAGAAGGTCCATCATGTTCGCAAGTGTCGAAGGAATCCAGCGCCTCCTTTGATTGAAGAACTCGTTGAATGTCTCTGGTGCATATGTTGAAGCGTCAGCTGCTGCACAATACTCGACCTTGTAACCTTGCTGCAGCAAAAGTGTGCATAACCAACGATCCTCACCTGAAACCAGACAACATACCCTTGATGCTATGAATTCTTTAAATAATTCATCACAATGCTCATAACAATTGAGGTATATCATTGCTTATGCATAACTCATATTAATCATCGAGTTTATCATATTAAAACATCGATTCTATGATTTATGGAAAATATATGACCTTAGATTGTGAATTATACTTTTTAACAATTTCTTTTTACAACAACGATAAAATAAGATGTCTGTAACATATTCCACCATAAAATATATCACAACCTCTAGGTCTTTTTCTCTCAAATAACACAGACATGCATATTCAAATGCATTCTGTTTATTACATTTACATAAGACGAGAATCATGAACCGGGGAATATGAATTAAAGCTGTACAACATATGCAAACATTTGAAATTATAGGTTTGGGATTAGGATTTTGGGCTAGAACTTCATTTTATGGTATTACTATCGTCACCCATTATAATAGAACTTAGAATCAAAATTTATTTTGGTATAGCATGAATTGCTTATATTATACCAGAGGGGAATATACACCTCGTGAATATCTAGGGGTTTGATTTATGTCACTAAATCCTGCTTATAACAATGTAAAATACACGGCGGTTCCCGGGCGATGATGCCATCTCAGGTGTTTGTAGCAGTTGATGAAGAAAGTAACATGATACTGCATGTTCTTCATCAATTTATAGTCCATAAAAGTCTCGTAATTTGAACGTGTATAAAGTCTGTTTATTATTTAGTATGATGGGTAATACTCCTTCAGAAACTTATTAAAAGAAGGCAAATACGCAGGGAATTGTATCTGTGACGAGTCATTAAAAACAGAACCCAACCATGATTAATGTATTTGAATCAGGCTTTAGAAAATATAGACATCTTCACCGTGATGTTGATGTCGACTCTTCATTCTTCTACTCCAGATTATCAATTTCCATCTTGTGTAGGATGCCTTAGATCATTAATTATCGTACGACACTACGTATTCAATATTATCAGTGTTAAAGGGGTCTGGAGTTAACAGGAAAAGGTCATGGACTTTAATTGAATATTGATAGAATTATTTCGGCTCAGAATCATCTTTTTCATACGTTGTTTTCGGTTTTTATTTTATTGCTTTGACCCTGAAAATGATTTGGCAATGATTTCTTAATTTTAGTACTTAAACATGGATCCATATCACGGATCTCCAATAACAATGCCAAATATTTGATTCTGATTGGCTATTTATCTTTTCATTTGCAGCAATCAACGTTATGTAATTTCTAACGATGGTGTCTACCCTTTTTGCACTCTATCCTTCGCTGGTCATTAATTTATCCCTGTCAACACAACCAAACCTAAATCCCGAGAGAGGTTTATCTTTAAATAAGATGTCTACCTAGACACAATTAGACGTAATATCAAGAGATGACAAAATATCAGAAATTCCCTGATATACGTGCCTGGTCTGGAAGTAATGCATAAACTGATACTCACCCCAATTTTGGAAATTCTAACATATCAGTGATTATACAGGGTAACTCAAATACTGGAGCTCTCTATTTTTTGTAGCTCTCTATTTTTGAAAATTTTTTGGCAATTAGTGGGAAATCTTGTGATCAAATTGCTACTCGGGTAACCGTGCCATTATCTCAATATTGGTGTGACAGGAGTCCACGAGAGCTTGTAGCAAATATTTGAGGACAGGGCTTATTGTATACACCAGAAAAGTGCACACATTTCAGTGTAGATTAGGGGAATGTATATGTACCTTGATCATATTGGACATAATGCCGAGCTTCGGTAGACTTTGTTGCGTATGTTCTTATCACGTTGTCGTCCATTAAACCAGAGCCTCTAAACAATGAAAAGCATCCGGGGCTGCACAGGACACATCCCAACATATGCTCGGCAGCTTTCTGTAGCCAATGACCAATGGCGTACTCAAACTTTTGATACCACACCATGGGACCTGCAATTTGTACAAAATCCAATCATAAAAGATGTGTAATATCCTGTCACACCTAATTGAATTAAGCATCACTTTACATTACATCTTACGAATGTTTTCTGTCAGCTTTCTTCCTGTAACTTGTTAAACAACATATTGGCAAATGGTGATTGGGTTCCATGTATGACAGTGGAGACCAATGAATTCCTCTAAAGCTGTTTTATCCCACACTTTCAACTCTTCAATCATGCAAATCTTTCCCTGAAGGACATTCATCACAAGAAAGCCGAAGACAGAAAGCCGGAAAACGTTGATTAATCGAGGTCTGAACAAAACAAAGTAATAGCAAATGAGATTAAAATTCCTGGTCCGACACGTACCCGTGACTGGTTTTGCTTTAACAACACCAATACTGATGTCACATTTGAGGGGCTTTGTTACAAGACAGACGAGTGGTCGTTACAAATGATACGATGTTAACACAGGGTAATCTAAGAAGGAGTATTTTACCATGAAAATCCTACCCATTATCAGTAGTTTTATTGCCTCAATAATTACACGCAATTTTTGATTAACTTTGTAGCTAATAAGATAGAATGCTTCAACGGTATTTCTATGATGCAATCAGTCAATGACAACATGAATGGATGGACATAATAAATGGAAATAATAATTTCCACCCCGCCTACTATGATATAACAACCGATAGGAAATTCCCGTTTTACATAGAAAGGAAAGAACTTGTGCATTCACATTTTGTTGGATCACATTGGTACGTTAAATGCCATATCTAATAAAAAGCGTGTGACAAACATGATTCTGATATAGTCGAAACCTCTCATCTTCAACGTCGACTTCGAAGTAGATTATAACATGAAGTTAGAGCTACTGTAACCATTTGAATCAAGACGGCTTATCCACGCAAAGATGCCTATGAGGGACAGATAAAGCCGTGATTACCCACGATGAGCAAACATCGTAAAATCCTTAGTTTATTACAAGGGAATTCGTGCTATCTTGTCTCCCGTTTTGCTAGATGGCGTCTTTATTTTCATCCTCTAGCTATTTAATCGGAAACTGAAATATTTAATTCACCCTAGTATATGGGAATATAATCGGGTGTATTAACATCACTTTTTTCACACTCAAACTCGCATAAGCATCGAAACTGTAACTGTTGAATTCTCAGAAGTAACTTGAGAGTATAAAAACAAAATTTAGGGGGATTGAGACTGAGAGGATGTTTTACCTGTGCCTATGGGGTGAATACGCCCACACGCAGCACCGACCTTCTTGTTTTTCTTCATCCTATCTACAAGCAGTTTCACTGACTCTGCATTGAAGTCAATATCCCCATCTAGAGTCAGTATATACGTATTCTCCGCCTGCAAAGACATTAGACATGTTAGCCGCCGCATTAAAGTGATTTCCTATTTCATCTGCCTATTTAGATGTTGACTAATTTACTTATTTTAACGGTTTGTGTAAAGAGTCCCGCACTGCAAATCAATTTCAAAAATGTTTGTAGACATTCCTGCCTTTACAATGTTATTTATTTTCTGCTAACACTAGGATTAAATAAGGACACATGATACATGTACAGGATGTCCCGAAAGTATGACCCCCCTAGGCAGACATATACCAGTGTCTTCATAGTATGTGCCATATATCATTTTAAGGCTCCAAAGTTACATTGACACGCCATGTATCATGGTTCAACTCTCAAATGTGAAAATATTACAAGTATTTCATAATTTAGTATTTGGCCAAAATTAGGTTCAATTTTAAACAAAATCACCAGGCAATATTTGTCCTCCCATGGAATTTTGATAGCAGCAATTCTGTTAGGGTCGGATGGATATTGAGTTTGAAAAAGAGAACGTTTAGGGTAGATTCTCAATGGAAACTCTTCCAAAGTGTCTAAAAAGGTTTAAAGAGGATTCCAAAATTCCACACCCCTATTTGAAGGACTTTTAAGGTCATATGTGAGAAGAATTGTTTCTGTTAACATGGCCAAAGGAGGACACATTGACTAGTAATGCAGTGTGACATTGAGCTTCATTTTGGCCAACACTAAATTTTAAAATGACCGTAACTCTTTCCCATTTGAGAGTTCAACCATGATACTTGGCAAATCAATGAAACGTTTGATAAACTTTAAAATGATATTTGACACATACTATGGCGACATTGGTATATGTCTGCCTATGCTAGGGGCATACTTTTGGGACACCCTTTGCCTTTCTGGTTAATGTGATCACATTTACCTTCATGGATGGGAAAATTTCTAAGAGAGGTGTGTGCAGGGCTGAGGGAGTAATTTTATTCCGTATTTTTCAAAGGTATAGGGATTATATGGGGGTTAATAATACCTGTGCTCGTTGGACATAGTTCATGTGCTTGTAGATCCTGCTTCGTTGGGCAATATGACTGAGCTGGTCATTTGACGTCTTGTTTCGCTTGTGCATATCACTGGGGTTGTAATATATTGTATCTTCCGTGTTCCCCAGTAGTCTATACCCAAGTAGATAGTACATGTACATCACCTAAAATATGAAAAATTTGCTATTAATGTCACTTCACTCGAAATATCAACATACAGTGATTATAAAAGGATGACATCAAAAAGTAGCATTTAGTGTAGAACAGGCGAACACCATTAGCATTGCATCATACTGATTACATATAATCACGGACTTCTGCGTTGCTAGTGTTGCTTTTGTATTTTAGCGTTTGTATTTTAACAGAATATTGTGTCGTTAACTAAACTGTGTTTATTAATTTTTCAAAAAAAGTAAAAACAGTGACTCTCAATTAAGAATCAGCAATTTTCAGGCGAGTCCGTGTAGAAGTGAATATAAACTCGCAATCTGATTGGCTTGACGTTCATGAAGAAAATTCAAATAATCTAACCAATCACAACCATTGGCACATTAAACGCTACTTCCAAACCAAAATTCAGATGGAAATTGCAGATTTCTGGTAGTCGGATCACTCTTTGAAATATCAAATCTCGTGAAGAAAATATATAATCTAATGGTATAAAGTCTACAAAATGCCTATAAAATCCTGAGATGAGAAAGCATGGACTGAAAGTATCGTAGTATGTCACTTATTTCTCTGTACAAAGTATTAAAAGCACACAAAACATTTTAATTAAGGATAAATTTACACAGTAATTTTACCCACACTGTTACATTAATACATTGTTACAACCTATATATAGTAAAGGCATGTTAACCCATCTAATTAAAAACCAAATATTCCGCCTCAACAGCTGTCATCAAGACATCATGTGTCTCAATTATGTATGTGTACATTTGTATATTATTACTTGGTATCGTATATCATATCTTGAAGACGTGATCAGTGGATACCACTACACAATTATACCGACAATTATACTCAAGTGTAATTATAGTAGTAAATATTTTATTCAATGTCCAACCTTAGAATAACGTCATATACCTCGTGGCTAAAAAGAAAGGTACCTCTGATTTATTAAGACTTAGCTATTTCCTTTGATTAACCAGTACAACGCCTCGCAAATATAACAGTAATATTTAGTTACAATACAAACGTCACAAATTAGTAGTATCATCCAATACACCCAAGGATGACTTTAGTCTTGATTGAATAGATTCTCTAGACACTTATCTATTAAGCAAACAAAAGATACACACGCACCTGAGACCATCGTTTCTTATGACGTATTTTATGCTTGTCTTTGACGTGAACATAGAGAAGGTTGCCACCAGGGAGCGTCCATGTAAGCCTACCGCCATATGGAGTCGGAGTCTTTATAGGAGGCGCTATCACCATTGTGGTTTCGTGAATAGAGCTGAAAAATAATGTTTTCATTAGAGGATACATCGAATTTGATCTAAGAAAAAATGAGTATCAATTTTTTATTTCACTGTGCATGTGGATTGCCCTTTCAGGAAGACTGCCGGGGATTCAATAGTAGAACAATAATACTGTACAAGTGGTAATTTTACATAAACATTCAATTTGCCCAATTCAGCTTAATTTCGAAAATTAAACGTCGGAAATATTGTCCTCCTAATGTTATCCAATGGGAAGTTTCTTGTCATTGGGAGATTTAGAATTAGGAAAATGATAAAATTTGACAAATCGGCAAATTAACCACTCGGGTTAAATACCACTTATACAGTATTATGAAAGGATGTTTTGTGTACAATTTTGTTCTTTGTTGCTCTAAAGTCCAGTTCTTATCAGAAATTTATTCTAATGTGGAGTTCCTCTTGAAATACAAATCCGTGTTTCAGTGTTTCATATTGCATATAGTAACCTGTGACAATTTTGGTTGTATTTTTTACCACACACAATGCGATTTTTATGGCAGAATTTGATACGTAACCGTATCGTTTATGGGACGTCTCTTGGTACCTTGATTATTTTAATCTCATTAGGTTCATTACGAGATTACGTTCTACGAGATGTCTCTCTGATTATGACACCTTATGATAGCACATTCAATAAAGTTAAAATACTGAAACATTAATAAACTGCAAACGTTCTAGTAGCTGATGTTAATTTACAATGAAAACGCTGATGCAGAATGGATACATCCCACGCAATACCATTAGAAAGAGATACCAATCCATTTGGACTTGATTGATATTTTCCTTATAATAACAATTACCCGACTGCTATACTCACCAGGCTGCAAGCTCCATGACCTCGACTAGAATTTTGACGAACTGATTACAGCATCGTTCTCCTTGATCGTTCTTTATCATACCATCGTCAAAAAATACATGAGCTTCAAACTCGTAGAAATCCGGATCTTTTACACCGAAGTACTCTTGTGCATTACTCCTTGCAGCCTGGTCGACGTCCATTCTAAAAACACAGAGTTGAAAAGAATAATGTGCGTGCAGGAAAATACGGAAGGATAAAAATGGCTGTACAATCAATGTTGATAAACAACAAAGATGGAGTTTTATTTTGGCATAATTTTCGTACCTCATTATTGATTTTAGCACCTGCACCATCTCATTTGCTGTCTCGTGCCACATACAAGCGCACACGTAAATCCTTGAATTCACACCCTCATTGATTCTGACCTTCTCAGCCTCAGATAAAACCGATCCCGCAATAGATCCGTTATCATCCAAAGTGACGTCAGCGGGGATTTTATCACGTAATGATTTTCCAGTTGCAACATTTTCGAGGTCGTCTTCTCGGCGTCTTCGGTTCATCACCAAGGATTGTTCGAGTAAAGTTCCGCAATATTGAGGAAGAACAAACAACCTAAAACATATGGTGATTTTATTTTAATATATTTCAATCCGAATCAATGTCTTATATTGAATATTATCTATGCTAATTACAGTATTATGTCGACTTGGAAATTTCGGGACTTTTTTATTCATCTTAGAAATGATTACCTTTCAACTTTTGCCAATCGTTCACTAACAGGCATCCAAATGTGAGATGTGATCCAAAGTTGTGAAAGCCACCAGAGAGCGAGACCACACCCTATCTGCCAAGGAAAGGTGTCTGTTCTGAAGCTTTCGGAACATTTGAAGAAACCAATTGAGATATCTCCCAGCCATACCGACTTCCACTCCTCCAAATAACAGAGATATATGAACGCTCCGACAGTAGCTGGAGTTATTAGGGATAGAGGTAAACTAAAACCAAATCCTTGCATGCAGAGTTTACAGGCGACTCTCGAGATGAAGAAACATATCGCCCCTGATATTGCGTTTATAATCAAGGGTAAGAATCGAAACAGCATCTCATCAACTTCACCGGTACCGCCGCCGCCGTCATCGTAGCCGTAGTAATCATAGTTATCGTAATAGCTGTCACCATTGCCGTAGTTATCGATACCACCACCTGCATCATCACTAGCAGCATCACCATCGGGAATTCCGTAATCATCTCCACCGGGACTCGGGTAATAGTCATCCTCGTTCTCTGCTTGACGTTTTCTTCGAACTAGCTCTTCAAATTGTGTTGTGGTCTGTGGAATAAGATTTTGAACATATTCTTCGTCTATGTATTCTGGGGCGTTACCTTCAGAGATGTTGTAATTCTCATACGAATTTAGAATTGGGTTAACAGTTATAGGGTCAGACGGTTGAGCACTGGAACTATTTAGATAAAGTGTTTCGTTTCCTATATGGTTAAATATGTCTGGCATTGCCGTCATCTGAGGCACTAGAATGTAAGCAAATGCAAAAGTCAGACCTATTTTCCACATACTGGCAAATACATATGTTTTGCATCTTCCCCGCCTGATATTTCTTTTGATGGCTTGAATAGGTATAAAAGCAAAGTCTCTATCCACAAAGTTCTCCCAATAGCGGAGTGATATCAACACCCCAGATGCAGGAATTTGAATAATTTCAATTATTCCTGAAACAGTGTTTTTGTCTCTAGTGAGATACATTGTGATTAAAAAGAATACAGAGCCTTGCATCAGAACGGCTAATATGTCCATAATGATACTAAGGGGCCCTCGGTTGCCCTTGGTGAGCAAGAGCTTCAAAAGGGCAGGTATGAAACATGTGGTGTTCATGAGTAGGACCCCTCGAATAATATCAAACTGTGGCAACACTTTAAAGACGAACAGGCAAAGGCCAAATGAATGGATACCTTCCACGAGGAAAACCTGGAAATAAATAAAAATTAAATCTTTGCCAGACAAACATTTCATTTGAGATAATATTCAATACACTAGGGTAATAAATACCATCGCAAACGTGCCTAGAATAGTTGTAAACTTACGAGGTGAACGTAACAGGTTTTAAAGACATTGACAAGTACATTTGAACCAAGCATATACGTTTACTGAGAACACTGATAATAAAATTCCAGTTACGTAGTGAAATGTGTAGCCATAATTAAAGGATAGGTATCGATATGGTGAACTGAATTCAACAATGTTTTTCTCTTTGAAAACATTCTGTAAAAAACGCGGTCCTTTATGTAATGTTGACTGATTGGCAACAATTTAATGCAAAAATTATTTATATACCAGTATAATTTATATAACTGTTTTTGTTAACATTTTCTTTGTGCAACTGTTTTTTGTTCCTTTCTACCAAACCAAAATAGCATATACAACATTCTCAGACCTCTCAATATTATAGTTATACAAAGGGAATTTTGGTTGATTTAACAAAAAGTATGCAACAACTTAAAGCAAAACCCCCCAAAATAGATAAAATAATTCAGATAAACCTTTTATTTCATTAACAAGGTACTTTTTAAAACCAACCAAACTTTCCTTTGTACAATTACAATATTGAGAGACCTTGTGTTTATGTCATTTTGTTCCAATGAGGTTCGGATAGATATTTCATTCATTCCAAACATATGATAACAAGAACGAAAGAATTTCTAGTGCTATCTGTTGTGTTTTCTAAAACAATAGAGAGAAAAGTATATATAATTCAAATTATAATGTTACCATCCAAAGGGTGTCCATCAAATTGACGATGTGTAAAATTTTCAAAATGTTTGATGACTGGTTTAAGATAAACGCGTGTTCAAAAAGTTCACCATATCGATACCACTCCTTTAGAATATAATATCGGCGAATCATCAACTTTAAGAACATTTCCTTTACCTCAATCAATAAAAAACATTTTTTATAAAAATCTCTACACTTATTTATCATTTGAAGTATCCCTTGTCATCATATCAAATATATAAAAAATATATTTTAGCACGCCATCTGAAAAGAATGAATGTGCTAAACAATATGACTTACTGCAAATACGCTTCCAAACGTTGGCCAAAAGTGGTTTCCGAATGTTGCTTTGAGGAGATTCTCAATAAAGGTGAGGACATTGGAGACATTCACTGCGAATATGAGCATAGTTATAATAAGATCTCGCTCAAACTTGGACTGAAAATAAAAAAAGTTTTTACCATCAAACATTACATGATAAATTGTTGATGGTTTTAATCACGCAGGTCCTTGCTAAGACTTTGTCGAAAGACACAAGACACGAATGCGTTAAAGCACCAACAATATATTGGTTCATTAAAGCAAAACTAATGAAAAACCAGAAAGCTTTGTGCAAGGGCTTTGCAAGGTTTACATTTTGACCTGAGTAAACACCCGGTGTAAAAGAAATTATGGTCCCCTGGGGATTATGGTCCCCTTTCCTTATGGCCCTTACTGGCCCTGACTGTGTATAAATAATAAGGAAAATAATTGTAATTAGGTCATCATATAAATCAATAGAGAGTAGGACCAAAATTTGATAGGACCACCAACCCTTTTACACCTGGTAAACACCACCTTGGCTGATCGTTGTCATAATTACTATATAGTACTGCAAATGTTCTTTATTGAAAAATGAATATAAAAATGAATGTTTGTTTCTTAAAATAATTGCAATACCTTTTGCATGTCCCCTGCACCCGTTGTCATCATTAAAAGACTACACTTGCTGGCAAATGTGCAGCAAATGATCACAACAAAGAAGAGTACGTAGATGAAGCATTTGAGAATTCGTACTGGACCTTCAAAACACTGATGGGCGACCACCCCGCTGTCTCTTGCAACTGTTTGGAAAACATCCCATGCCTCATTGTTGGAACGTCTAAAAGAAGAATATACAGCGGAATCATTGGTGGTTGGTCGAATTAATGTGACGATCCTTTTGAAACGTCTAAATAATCAATGATAAAAACTATTTCCTCGATATATTTAGGTAAAGGATATTAAGTTAGATGAGTTGTTTGAATCAGTCTAAGACAGGCCTATGGAAGGCGGTTGCATCTATCTATTGATACTTACAACTGTTGCTCAAATTCATTGACTGTTTCGGCATCCGGTTGTACATCCGGGGCTTTCCCATGTCGCTGTCTCAAGGAATCAGACATCTTGGACTTTTACAGCGACCTCTTTAATTTCAACACCTAGAAATATATCAAGAAATATTCTGAATTTGCTCATCGGTGATCTTCTTATGTTGTCATTAAAGCAGTCTCCTTTGCCAATGTACATGTACATAATCAAAATGACCACCTTAGGTACTTCAGTGACATATCAGGTGTAAAATTAATTACGGATATGACCGTTGTAACGAGGGATATGGAATCTCCACCCTTGGATGATTATTAGAATCAATACAAAATAGATTAGAGTTATATAAACCAACTATCTGGCTAACGGTAACTTGAAATCGATCTTATATACAAAAGTATGTGATATGTATAGTTTAGTAAAACTGGGTCAATGTTAAACACGTATATAACTAGGCACCATGAGGATCGGAAAGGAACATTTAACATATCAGACATTAGCACAGCTTGTAGCTACTACACCACACAGTACACAACTCAACAGTACCGATTGACAATTAAGAGTTATTCCATTGTCTGTCTCTACTGGCATTTGGCCCAAAACTCCCAGACTACTGATTTTAGACTACTAGACGTGTACTTTGGAACTAAGCATTTCTGAGAATTTTGATTTTCCCCGGGCATTTGGATTGACTTCTTCAGCGGTTATTTCACTAAATAATTTGCGTAATCAGATTACCGAGACGGTTTTACCATATTTTGTTGTCCCAATGGGAAATGTCCCGTTTCTACAATTCCCTCGTCAACCAAAGAATGGAAAATTGTTATTCACTCACTGCTCAGTTCAGTTCAATTCTGAGCATTTACATGGACATTTCCAAATTCTACATGCATGAAAGTTCGACTGGAAAAGGTGAGGGGTGAGAATGTGATTTTGAATTAGATGAGATCTCAATAATGTGAGATCCATGTCTCAGGAGATATATTCGCAGTCAAACTCTGGTCCTTTTTGTCTAGATTGTTTAAATATTATAAAAATGCAGCGTCATATTTGGAAGAGATATTTCAAAAAGATTCTAAAAGGTTTTTAGATAATTTTTGGATAGGGTACCTTAATTCCTAAATCCAGTACAATAGGCTGACAATGTGAAGCCTAAACTGGCTCTGTTTAATCAATAGTTGATAATATTGTCATACTTTTAAATTAGTGGTATTACTTATTCAACAATTTAGGATAACGTTAAAGTATTGATACCACATGTTATATAAAATTGCTTTTCAAATACAAAATGAGAAAAATTAGTTACTTTAACAGAATAAATACATGTATCAGTTTTACTGCTTTGGTTAAAAGGCATTTCCAAAATGCAACCTTCCAATGTATTATATATTGGGTGCATGTCATTCTATGATATGTATTTTTCTCTAAAAATCGTTTGACATTAGTGTTATTTTTCCATTTTATATTTTGGAATTTCCGTTCTTTGAAACTTTGATAACTTTACCACGTTTACCATAAGATAAATAAATTGCAAAAAACAAATTGGTCAATTTTAAAAGATATAATACAGAAAGTATTGAGGAAAAGATTCAGACAACTCGGGTCTACGTCATTGCTGCACACATTTCAAGAAAGACTCTATCAATATTATTCCGACTTGTGAATGATGGCTCACCATACAGCAAAAGTTGCAATTCTTCCGTCTTAGCTTTAAAATTATGTTCACCGAAATTTGAACGGCTAAGTTGTTCTTCGTAGTCTATTAAATGATAGAAAATATCAGATTCGTCCATTAGAATACATACCCTCTGTTATATGGAGAAACAGCTCCTACATTTTAATTCCATTCATGTTGACCTAGAACAATATATAATCCAAGTAACATTTATCCATATTTTTTCTCTTTTTAGTGTTTTTCTATGTCCGGTTTGACATTCTCAGGTAAAAGGAAGGAGGACATATGTCAAGTTAGGTCTAGAGGTGTAATTATGTCACGTGGTTTAATATTTCTATGATTATTATAATGTTTGCATTGTCACAGATGGTGAAGTACCCCGCCCTTGGTTAACTTCATGTAAGTCCGATATTCAAATTATTTTCACATACATAACTTTCTTATACAGTGCATGTCAAACGTCCTCGATGTGACCCTATACTACAATGTTATGATAAAAATGAAAATGGCGAATTTTAGTCGCATGTGAGTCGCATTTTAGGAACAAAAAGGGGCGTATTGGATTTACATATTTACAAAATATTAAAAATCATTATCGGGCATATTAGGCGTGGAAGTATTTATATAGTACATTATAATAAATATTCATCTATCTTAAAAGAATTATAAATACACCAATTTTCAAAATGTCATCAGGTGCCTTTGGGTAGGGTGTACTGTGTATTCAATACAATTCAATACAATATCTTCTCGGAATAAAACTACGTATTAATTGGAGCGGCCTTATCACTTGTACTTTCATTTCATATATAAACAATTGGTACCTGTATGTCTGAACGAAACAAACATTATCCTTATCATGAAGAACGAAGTTTGATTCTCCAAAATAATATATAATTATGTATCTAAATAAAATTTAAGTTGATGTTGTATACCGTTTATTGTTATATTTTGGGGAGGGGTAAACGCAAGTTTTTAGTTATCTATCCGACAGTTTTAATCATTTCAATATTTTCCAAACATGTAAATGAGTGACTACCAACCCCATTCAAATACTTCAAATGCAAGAAAATATTTAAAAAATCATAAATTATGATTAATAAAAATATGGTGGTTAATTTATACAGTACCAATGAAATAAAAGTGAAAAGAGCAACGAATGTGTCTTCGAAACTCCTCAGCAAAATTTTACAAAAACTCCAGCGGAAACTTCGCCTTTTCAACATTAAGGTATTTTTTATTAGTTTTCTAGGAGGGGGAGTCAAGGTCAATACTAAATTCATTTAGTTTCCTATCAGCCATTGATGTTTTGCAGCCACCCCAAATGTAATTGTTATTGGTTAGAAAACTATAACTGGTCAAATGGTCCATATTCCTTGTACTGTGTATTGCAATGTTATTTTATATTTAATAATACATGTATTAAAGCGTTCGTCACTTCTGTTGCTAAAAGTAATAATAAAAAGCTCACTTTAACAATGCCAACTTTTAATTAAAATAATTATGATGTAATTAGTCGCAACAGGTAGTAGATAATTAGATGATTGCGGTATGATAATATACATTTATGATTTGTTTAGTTGAACACTTAATTGCAGTTTTCACTCCATTCAATTACTAACAAAATACAGTATCTAAATACGGTATATTATTTCATTATGCCATTTCTTCAGGTTAAAAGTCATGTTTATAACCCTACTATCACACCAAACTAGTTCTCACTACGTTCTCGAAAACGGGCTTCAACTGTGTACGAACGGAGTGGACGTACTTAAAACCGTTTGGGGTCTATGTAAAAACTTCATCGAACGAACTCGAACGGGTAGATCCTCTAGAACTTAGAACATACTCAAAATGTTCTCTTGGTCGTCACGTTCTACGATTAGAACGAGTGTCAACGTACTAACGACGAGCTGTGCGTACTACGAACGGAACTGTCGTACTTCAATCCTACTAGGGACGTTTTTACAACGAGTTGAACTGTCTGAGGACGTATTGAGAACGAGATAGAACTAATTGCAAACGGGTTTAAACTGATTAAGAACGTATTAGCAAACGAGTTAGCAAAAATATAGCTATCGCACCAAGCGATTAATTAGTTTGGTGTGATAGGGGGTAAGAACACTTTACCTATTTTGCGGCCATCTTGCATTAGGTACCTTACCTTACTGACATTTTGTGATAAATTGTTAATTTTCTCTCTAAATGGTGACATTTTGTGATAAATTGTTAATTTTCTTTCAAAAAGTGCCAAAATGCTATATTTACTAAAAGAATGATCTATTATCTTTCAAATAAAATAAAAGTCAATTTAAAAGCGTTTTTATAACTGAACGTATGCACTTTAAAAGATAGCAGGTGTCGCGAAAACCCATTGAAATCAGGGAACTCGCAATTGAATAATCAACAATTTCCAATTTAACTTGTTTTTGCATTTAGTATATTTCAAGATGTTCTACAAATAACAATCAGTGATTCTGCAAGACAATACTGTAGATAAACGCTTGACTTGGTACTAACTCAATAAAATGTCGGTCCTAGTTCCCACCAAGCAACAGCATAGAATTAAATCAAAATAGTGAAATTGAAAAAAGTGGGAGAAGAGATAAAAAATAAAATCTAAAAGGATAGGTTTACCATCATAACTCTGCTACCGAGGTTTGCATAACAATTTCCAAGGTATCGATTTAATAGTTTTCGAAGAAATAGTTTTTCTCTCAAATTCGTAATGAGAACGCGACCCGCGACCCGCGAATAAAACAAGACATTAGGGTTAACCTCCAATTGTGAAATCAGGGGATGATAGGTCTGCATAATATATCTCACATATCGGTGTGTTTCATATTTTGAATAAAACTATAAATTATAATCATTGTGTATATCAATTTGATTAGATGTATTCCTGACATGTATTAGTAAGATCAAACATGGGCTCTACCACCAATCTTCAAATAAATCAGATTTTCTTGGATTTCCACTTTTTGAATTGGCGAACTTAACACGACCCTTGTAGCTCTTTGTACCAGGTACCATCAGAAGAAATGATTTAATGAATTGAAAGTTCTTTAGTCAGCCATGTTTAATAAAATCCACTATGACATGAGTGTTTTGAAAACATTTCTAGCATGCTCGCTCGCCTGATTAACAAATACGGGGTGTCATCCTTTTGTTGCTTCAGCAGTATTACAAATTGATTGAAGCATTTTATATCATATTATAAGCGACATCTTTATGATTATCACCTTTTTACCTGGTTACTATACTTTTTTTTATTATAGACGGCGTGAGTGTCATGATCATATACCTTATAACCATTGGAATGCGTTCTAAAGATAAACTAGGATACACAAGGGTCCGTTTTTGGTTCGATCGTAACTTAAGATTCTTAGCAATCCATTGTCTACTTAAGAAGAACAATGACTTGAAACTGTAAATGAATTTTTGTCTTGACTTGATCCGGGGACTTGATGATGTCTCAAAATGGATGGGACATTGGATATTCTGTATGGAATGCATAAATCCTGCCTAAAGTCTTGCATTTCTACTGAAAAACCACATATGATTCTTAACATCATCCATATTTCAGCTAGGCAGTGGGTTCAACATAGTACCAAAAATTATCATGCCAACCCCTTGATTAAGCGTGACAGATTATATTCCGTTGTAAGAAAGGGAATGTGATGAGTATCAGAATGACATACATCAAATTGCACAAACAAGATATTTAACTACATAAACTGACGTTAGTATGCATTGTCTGTAATTACTAGATTAGTATGCGTATTCTCATTACAACTGACACCCGGGAACTGACATACGTGTGTTCATAAAAATAGTATGATCTTACTAATGATTGCTGCCAATATATTTTCAGTCACATCAGCTGGTCACAGGTCACATGACATTATTTTTATGATAAGAGTCAACATTTTGATCTAGAAGGGAATGAGAGGGACCGTACCTGCCCATCCCCTTAGTTATGTCCAAATTAAGCTCGGCCCATATTTTATTGTAATTTTAAACCTAAAATGAATTCGAGTTTTCATTTTCATGTGGTGATTCAGCTCATTTTTAATATTTCCAAAAAATTGATATATTTTATTTGCCTTCCCGATGTTGATTTCCAAATCCGCGCTTTATGTGTCTTGCCTATATATTTAGGCATATTCCATATTACATGTTTCCAATAGTTGCTCTATTGTGACAGGCCTGCACAGGTGATATGGTTAATCACCATATGTGAGCCTTCGATGTCATTAACATCTAAAAATCATACTATAAACATCTGTAGTACAAATTGCAATCAGTTCTGTTATAAAAAATGATGCAAATTAAACATTCTCATTGTGGGTTTAACAAATAAATGTCAAGTTTACAATAAGAATTGGGGATTCCTACTCTAATGAAGGGTTGTTCAAGAATGTAATATTGGATACGCACACTTTTTCTGTGATATTCGAAGAGAATTGATTACACAATGCATGTTTGTGACCACGCATAGCCGGAATTTCAAAGCATTGTCTTTCCTCTCATCATTCAATGTTTGCCTTTAATACAAATCCCAAAGGGTATGCCTTGGATAATCTATATATACATAGGAGAGTTGATCAAAAAGTAATGGAATAAGTAAAATCAACCCGTTTAAAAATACATCACTAATTGATCACCCCTCGTATGTACGTATATCCATTTTTGATTTTTCTAGTAAGACAAGAACAATATCATTGATATACATAGAAGTTACTCACTGGGAGGTATTAAACATGGGTTTTATTCCGAGGGACAATATGCTATTTCCCGACTATCCCGAGGGCCCGGAGGGACAGATTGAAATATCATAGTTTTAGGAGGAATAAGCCCATATTCAGCCCCGACAAGTAAATACGCTTTTATTATCAAGTATGCTATTTCCTGACCATCCCGAGGGCCCAGAGGGACAGATTGAAATATCATCATTTTACGAGGAATAAACCCGTATTCAGTCCCGACCAGCTTTTTATCCCATAAGACCTTCATGAACCATATTTGTTTAGAATCAATATCTGGTTTTTGTTTAATCCGAAAACAGAATGATACTATTCCAGTCTACAACATTTTTGAAATATGAAAACTTTATGAGATCAAAACATCAAACTCAAAAAATCGGTACACATTTACATTAAGTCTAAGAGTGCCAGTACATGTTGTAGCATTTATATAGAAACTTCTGTGAACTTTTACTGTCTGTATCAGAGCATAATGATAAAATTACAATTAATTTGAAATATTGTATTAGTGTGAAATATTATATCATATTATAAATCAATGCAACAGAGCCTTAAACATGAATTCACAATTTCACACGACGCTTGCCTCGTAAAATGTTAATATATAGAGTCAGGTTCATACGATCCTAAACGTGATAGAATCAGTCCATCTGCCACACAATATATACTTGACCCATTGTCTTAAACACTGTGTATTCCATGTATCTTAACTCCAAACTATCCTTCATTTTACACAGGTTAAATAAGAATAAAAATTAAAATACTACCCAGCCGTAGTGCTCGTAAAATAAATGACACACCCAATTTCCATTTCAACTTGAATGCTACAAAGAACAAGTGATGTAAATAGAGAACACATTTGGATTACTTAAAAATAAATAGATCTCACATAATCGTTCCAAATTGGATTTATTCAGTTTTGCAGTAAACAAATTAAGATGGCATTACTCGGACTACTTATATTGACGTTTTACAGTTTGTTCGGGATTATATCTGGTTAGCATTTGAAAGCCCTTTCCATGAAAAATCCTAATTTAATCGAAGGATACACCTTAAGTACGTGGCGGTGCGGTTAGAGTTAATATGATCAATATGTTTGATTGGTTGGGCCTTAAATGAAACAATAAGCACATGAGATGTTTCAGACAAACAAAAGTACATGTAAAACGATCTGGGATTTTATCTATCAGAAATGCGCCCCTCAATTTCGTCATATCATTGAATCCAATTTGCTATTTCCGTTTCTGTTTCTACAGGGAGGTAACAGTGTGGTAATTAATCACCTTAACAAAAGGGTGGGGGTTTATGTCGCAGCTATTTATTTGTGGGAAACGTAGTACAAGTTGAATGTAACGAACGAACGTTTTTTCTACTTCTAGTTACTAAAATTTAAACCAATTAAGTCTTTAACATTGAAACTATCACCTAACGTAATGAACGTTTCCATGGTTACTAACATTTAAACCATAGGTCGTCATAATTGAAACTGTAACTTAACGAAATGGACGTTTCAATCTCCTAGTTGGTAGCATTTAAACCATTTAATTTAGTTTTTCTAAAAATTAGAGAGATTTCGCAACACACTGATATGCGTGTTTATAAATCCCGTATGTTTATGGTGTGTACTACGTCATCATTTATTGCGCAGGGGTATCCATTCACACGAACCCATCGCTTATAAAACGTTAAGTTGTTTATAAGGGAGTGAATAGTTGTCTTGTTTAGACATATAAGTAGGTTTTTGAAAACAAGAGATATTTGAACATAATTTATTCTTTGTGAAAAGAACATTAGAATTGTTCGATGAAATATATATTTCTAAACATAAGTACATTTTTGCGAAACACCTTTTCGATTCGCTTATGCTCATAACGTATAAACGTAAGTTATACTTTCATATATGAACCATTGTGCATGTCTTTCCTGTCAATTTTTCCATTAAGTTCATCACGGTGAGTGTTTGACAAACTATTAATTGTGCAGATTCAGCAAAGTTGAAACCAGCATCTCCATAATACTTTTGATTTACAAGATTTATGACAACATTAAATCCTTTGTTTTTATATATCTTTATTGATGATTATAGGTGATTATTGTTACGTATGCAGTAGCGACTCCAACCTTTGCCGGTTCAGTGTATTTGATGGGAAATACCTGACCGTACAAAAGTGCAAGACAAAGTGTTTTATGAGAACAGAGCAAGGAAGTAAGAAACAAACATTTCCACACAATCAATATGACTTATAAATTGCGCGGGGATTTCTTCTTGGATTATGGTTTGACATATTATATTTTTCCATTCTAAATATCCAAGAAAAACGTCCATTCTAAAGGAACAAAGATACATATACAGTGCAAGAGTACAAAATTTCTGTTTCAATGTTATTGCGAAACTAACCTTTGTGTATTGTTCGTCCTTTACACGTCTGTCATTAAAATGACTAGTCATTTAAGAAGTTAAAATCAACTTGTCTAATTTTTCATATCTGCCTCTAACTTTTACTATCCAAGCACTAACAAATCTTTCCTCAATGCTCGAAACTGTATAATAGTTATTCCACTAGATCACTAAAAAGTACACACATAATTAATTGCCAGGTTTTAAAACATTAGCGGAATTGTGCTCAAAGGGACGTTCTTTATTTTATAATTCTGGTGTATTTTCGGATTGTGGTAAAAGATGGAGTCACTTTAGGCGTTATCTGTTACTAGTATATGGTGTAAAGCTGAACGAGATCACATGCATTCCGTTACACATTTCATCAAACCTGTAGAACCAAATATAATTGAATGTCAAAACCAATTATTGAAAATGTTTTGAAATGTTCACTTTTGACAGCATTGCAATTTCATACATATTGAATATTCAAACGAACTGAAATTTAATCCAGGTGATGATATACCTGTGTGTTATTATGATATCAACTCGTTTGCATTTCCCTAACAAGGTCATTTAATAATTAAAAAGAAAAAAACTAAAAGAAGTTCAAATAGAGTTCATCATATTATGTTCTTATATCACATAATATCAAATGCTCTTCCCTGTCATTTTTACTTCTGGAAAAAGACACCCACAATCCTCGTTTGTTAAACCCCTTTGCCTTTTTTACTGTGAAGAAAAAAACATATGTATAATTAATGTCAAGTTTAACTTGTTGATTTCATACATTTATATTTTTCTATTTTAGAGATATTCAGAGGCTGTTTTGATGGTTGGGTGAAAGGTTTGGTCCGCCAAGATTACCTCGGTTGTCAAACACAATCCTACCTCGGACAGACGGTTGAATGGTGCTTCTGTAAAGGGACTGTGTGCAACGGTGCCTCGAGGAATGCCCTTGCCAAGGCGTCTCCTCCAAGAGTTAACCGCATACCATTGGTTGACGAGGGGAGTGAAAATGACGTCGAAGAAAGCGACGTAGAGAATCAGTATAGTCAGCATGACATGACATTTGAAGGTTAGCTAGTTGTATAGGAACCCATCGATTTGGTCCCTCACTTTTTGAATTCCATTTGCTACCATAATTGACCTTTGAACTGAACATATCTTTACACGGGTCTGGTTCTAGCTATTTACAAATGTTTGTATTAATATCAGATCAAATTGGGCGTTTTTCTTTTCCTGAATGTTTAACACATATTAGATCTCAAAACTCAAAAGTGTCGCATTTTCAAACAATGAAAATCGATCGACGATTGTTATTGTTACTTGATGTTAAAATTAATAAGTTTGATCTCAATATTTATGTTTTCGGATTATAAATAATCTCTCTAGTATTAGTCAAACATACAATTTCTCCTGCGTATAATCTTTGTTGACCAAAGACGATCTTGAAAAATATAGTAAACTGATTTGTTATGTCTCCCCAGATGTGCTATCATTCCCCATTTATCAGCCACGAGTGTAAACATCTGGTGCTAACGATACTGGCATTTTATGTAAAATATAAAAGCTAATGTTATATGAAGTAGTTAGTTCGGAATTATACCTAAAAGACTGCATCATAGAGGGACACATATTGCTCATTGCAATTGATTGTGATACCTCCGTGAAATGCAATGAAAACATTAGGCAATTCAAAAATCACTTTTGTAAATTACAAGTTTTTAAAAACTGACCGAGCCAGTGGGGTTTATGAGATATAAAATTTCAAATTATTATATATACAGGGTGGTCCAAAAATGGGACACTCGTATTTCAAAAATAAATATCATATTATGTCATATTATATACCAGTGGATAGGGAATTTACTTATCTTTAATCTGGTATCTCATAAGTTCAAATTTATTATGATGTCTGTCAACCAGCGTCCATAATATAAATGACGTCATCTTCGTTTCCAAACGGGTTTTCCAATCCTGCAAAAATCAAGTTTTTTTGTCAACTTGATTATTTTACATAAACAGACACTCAATATGTCCACCATTTTGATCAATTGTAGCCCTCAATTTGGCCTAAACTGGTCAAAAGCATCATTGATATGCTGTTGAGACAATGAATTTCACTTCTCGATAATTTTGTCCTTAAGGGGCTGAATAGAATGTAAAGGATTTATGGTACACCAATTCTTATCACACGTGGTTGTCACAGACGTTGGATGATCGGGTGATCTGAGAGAGGCAGTGATTAATTGGGGGATGATTCTAGGCACATTTTCCTTTAAACATTTGACACTCTTGTGGGATCTATTGCTTGGAGCCACATCTTGTTGGAAAATGAGCTCATATGATGGTCCGAAAACAACAAAATTGGATCATCCGATGTCAACGTCTGAAACAACCACGTGTTGGGAGAAAGAACAGAATTGGTTTACCATGAATCCCTTACATCTACTCAGTCCCTTATTAAGGATAGAACTGTTGGGAAAAGGAATTGATTGTCTCAACAGCATGTCAATGATGCTATTGACCATCAGTGCCAAAATTGAGGGCTATAATTGATCAAAATGGTGGAGATATTGAGTGTCTGTTTATGTAAATCAAGTTGACAAAAACTTGGTTTTTGCAAGTTTTGGAAAACCCGTTTTGAAACGAAAATGACGTCATTTATATTATGGCCGCTGGTTGACAGACATTATGTTAAATTTGAATTTATGATATACCAAATTAAAGATGAGTAAATTCCCTATCCACTGATATATAATATGACATGTTTTCATCAAGAAGAGCAATATTTATTTTTGGACCACCCTGTATATAATATGTGTAATTTGGCAAATAAATACCGAACGATGCATTATTATTTCAGCATCGGATAGACTTACTGAAGGTGGATACAATGATCAATCTACTGTTGATCGCAAAAGTAGGTCACTTTAAGATATGCGTTTATAAATCCATATAAGTATCTACTTATTAAAAGATCGTTAATAAAGCTTCTTCAAAAGGGTAGTGACTCAATAGAATTTATTTTTAGTGAATCATTATCAAGTAGCGATACTTTATATCTAAAAGTTCTAGTGTAGTATTAAAGCTTGCAGATTTGTACGAGAGAACAACCTTCAGAACTACATATTAATTTGCACATTAATTGAGTATACTAACAGTGCAGACCTCTCACTGAAGATTGACAATTGACCCTGCTTTTGATTCTTCTGTATACTAATATACCCTAATTAAATGTATTATATCAATTTAATCGTCAAATAATGCTAATAACGAAATACAAATTCGGTCAGTTTATTTTGAACTATTGTAGTCAAAGGTGTCTATATATAAAACTGACCAATGGAATATTTCAAGTTATAAATAAGTAAATACCATATTCACACATAGCTAGGCAAGGTGTGTCCGATTCCAGCCAATCCGAACAGAGTATTCACATCATGAACAGTGTGTGAAATGTGTGCAGTTGCTAAGCGATTAAAATTGAAATTGAGTTTTCCAATACTTGACCCTTGCAAAAAGTTTCATTGAAAATATGTTCTTTTAGTGATTTTGTATCTTTCAGGTGATTTTATAGAAAATATTTTGCAATGTGTGAAAAGAATTTAAGCCCAAGACTCAATGCATTGTGGCTGCTTCAATCCACTCAGATGTTGTTTCCTAAACTTTGCATTCCCCCTGCGGGATCATGCAAAGATTGGGAAACAACATCTTCGTGGAATGGTTCAGCACACAATGCACTGAGTCCAAGGCTATCCTTAAATCATAATACGGTGTCCACCTTTTAGAGAGCACGCGTATTTTGGTATTAATTAACTATGTCCATAATAACGTTAAATTGTTTTTTCCACATAGGTCTGACATGCTTCGCGTGCAATAGCGTTTCGAAACATTGCCAGTTTCAAGTAACAGACGCACGGTACCTCACGGTGACTCCATGTAATTCGAAATGCTTCGTAAGGAGAGACGAAGAGGGTGAGACGCATTTTCATATTAGATTCAACTTTGATTATGATAAGAGGTCGTAATTATACAATATTGATCAGATTGTCTATTTTATCTTCACGGCGTAAATATTTTCGAATAATCTTATTATAAAAAATGTCATGTACACGAGACATAGATATGATATACACTTTTCTTCCCCCAGTTACATATCGTGGTTGCTTTGACGGTTGGATGGGGGGTGTAGTAGAGTTCAATTATGTTGGCTGTAGACGTCAGAGCTACCATGGTAAGGTAGTCGAGTGGTGCTTCTGCGAGGAAAGCCGCTGCAATGGTGTCTCCCTTTATCACATGGGCATGGCTAATAACATCGGTCAACCCGCTATAGCGAACATAGATGATTCTTCCGTGGACGCTGATCATAGTGACAACCAGCTCCCAGAAGATGGTATTAATACTTAATAGATATAATCATTCGAAATACGTTTTCTCTTAAATGCTAGTTCATCGAATTTCTTGTGTTCAAGTGTTTTTTGTTGCTGCTGATATTTATGTTTTTTGGTATTTTCTAAAATTGTAACTTTGTTTTGGAAATAGTGTTTCAAATGTTTTATTTTATTTTTTGAGTTGGGAAATAACTAGAGATATTAAATAGAAAATAAAAAACCATCAATCTTGATTTCTCAATATCAATATATAACATATCTTAATTGTTTTTTAGACTATCAGCCAGCATATGGCGCGGGTGGATGTCGCGCTCTGCCAGACGGTCTATATCGTGATCCCAACACCTGTTATGGTTTCATCCATTGCTTCAGTGGGTTCACATATCGTAATAAGTGTCCCAAGGGACTGGCATGGAACGAAAGGCAAAAAAATTGTGACTATGTTTTCAATACAGCATGCGGATACGCAGCGGCTGTTCAGCACTTTACCAAAACCCCGAGAGTAACCAATTCGAAAGAAACACCCTCCTCGAACAAACAAGCTAATACAGGATATCAGTACAGATTCTTTAAGAAATAGCATATAGAGACATCTGATCGCGATCGTAAGCTCTCCAAACAACGTCAGAGATGTACAACATTTGCCGAAGATCGTTTATGTAATACCATCAAATTCCGTTGTAAGATAGATACACAGTTAAATAACCAATGACAGAACGGATATGTGATTTCCAAACAATTACTCAGATCGTTTAAAACATTGTACAAGACAAGAAAAACAAGAGATTGATAGTGAGACAGAATGATGATCCGATTAAAAGAAATCTACAGAAAAACAGATGTCAATAAATGTTAATATAAAACAGACAATCTAACTTGGTCTTACATTCCAGATAAAAGAAATGTTTGTGTAGTAAACTAATAGAGTTACCAACAGGTTCTGTAGATATTACAGAAAAAAACATGAATCAGATATAGCTAAATTTCAGTTAATGTAAATATGCATGCAGGAATGTATAGTTAGACAATTGATTTTGATGAATTTTAATTCTGTAATGTTTTCAAGAAAAGTTAATTAAGTATTTTTAGAATATACCACATTTAGAAATTGACTGATGACGTCAGATGGTGACGCATCATAGCTACCGAAACCGAAAATGTACGTAAATTAACATTTGTGAAGGTTTTTTATAATAAGACTTCCCTTCAAAAATCAACTTTTAATTTTATTGGTACACCCAGGATCTCATATTACTATTGTCGGACAAAAAGGTATGATATCTTGAAAGTCGACACTTTCTCAACAAGTTAAGTTTTTGAAAATATAAGTAAAATCATTGTTTTGGAGTATGGATATTAGACAAGTCTTACCAGGTAAAACAATGGAGAAATGATGGCATCCAAATAAGAAGAGAAGAGTATGAATTCAAACTATATCTAGTAGTCATGTTTAAATTTCATCACGGAATACAACAATGATGAGAACTCAAACTTGTCCAGAGCAGCTGTGGAGACAGCTTTGACGTACATTACTCGACGCACGTCATGTATCTAGGTCTTGTCATTATTATCTATTTTGAATATATTGATCAACATACATTAATCAGCAACGTAAAATTAAAATCAAAGCAATCTTCATGTTCAAAAGAGGAGTTTCCATACAGGTTTGAATTCTCGCTAATTCTCTTTTTTCGTGAGATTTTAAGACACTTGCATATTAACCTTACATACCTTCTTTTTAATAGCATATTTGAATTCAATGAAACGTGCTCCTCAAAATAACTTTGATTTATACAGCCATGTTATTTAAAATCATTTTCTATGACTTTTTCATCTTTTCTAAAAAATGTGGGCCAAATCTCCATTGATGCAATGTTAAAACTTTTTAAAACCTCGGTTTATTCGTTCGACAACCAAACATTTCATGATTGACACAATGTGTACATAAAAGGTCATCCCGTAGTGTGTCATTCGAGTTTTAGACAGATTCAACCAACATTTTTGTGATAAATCATGAAATTGAGTGACTATTGCAAGTTTTTAACATTGCAGCCTATGGCAGTCTGGTCCAGCCAAAAGAAATAGAAAAAAGTAGTGACATATATCTATCCAGCTTATTTAAAGATGCTTTTGTAATTTTACACTCTATCATTTGCCATTCCTGTAAGATGTATTTTATTTTGTAATAACTATATAATAAACGAGAGGTTTTGTATTAATCCATATATTTATAAACGATCACTGTTTACATAATTATGTACATAACTCTATATTTACTATTTATCATTCTCACAACTTTGTATACTGTATATTATATTATAATAAATATATTGCATTGATAAAAACATGCTGTTAGCTATTAAGCACTTGTTTTGTAAATGCCCTCAAAACATCAAACATTTAGCTTGTATTCGCAAATATGCAACTAACGGCTATCGGATTAACCTACTATTTTACGGGCAACTCATTTAAATATGAATAGAACCTGCCAATATTCCATTCATATTTAAATGAATTGGTCATGGCTGACATGCGTTAGTTGCATTCACGAATACAAGCTTAGAGATACGAGTCACCAAAAGCTTCAATGAACGGTTATTCACTATTCATGCTCCGATTCATCGACCGGCGCCCGGGTGATTGAGTATTTTGTTTAAAATTGTGTTCAGTTTTGAACAAAATACTCAATCGACCGGGCGCCGGCCGATGAATCGGAGAAAATGTGACTCAGATGTTACGGAGGCAAGATGGGCATTCCACGATTTACATGTTACAATAGCATTTTGATCAGATGGTCAACATCTTGACAATAAAGATGGCACTTCAGTCAAATTTGAACGAAATTCTGTCTTATATCGAAGTACACAAGAATTCTAGATGTTCCTTTGATTTTGTCGGGCTTATGCTATGGATCTGGTTTGGATGGGCACCATGGTGGTTCTTGTTCGCACTGGCACCGTGCTCGGATTGTTTATTAGCACCCTGAGATGCAATACCATTGGACGTTTTCGATTTACTCGATGATGTTTCATTGAACCTACTGGTAGGTATCTCTTTAATATCTGACAGGGCAGGCTTGTCTCCGTATATCCCTGCGCCTGGGATCACAAGTTTATGACTCGTGTCTATCCTGTTTCTGTCCTTTGTGCTACTATCACGCGAGAAACGGAAAGAATCTGAACTAGTTTTCGACTTACTCCGCCAAAAGCGCCCGGAGCTTGTGGAATTCGAGTCTACGCGAGTCAAACAAGTTTTGACGCTCTGACTAGGTGACGTCGCATCCGCTAATCTTTTCCCATTTGCTTTACCCTGACGATCCCCGTGGTCTGCTCGTTCGTCAGATTCTGATCCAAGGCTATCGCTTCTGTTTTTGTTTTTCGGTGGCTTCTTAGCGACATTCTTGCGGAACGGCGAGTATTTACTGCCGCGTTTGCAACAGGGAAATACCTTGTAGACCAGCGTCCCACTGAACGCCATGTAGATCCATGGGTTGCAGCAGCTATTCAAACTGCCAAGCAACAGAACAATCACAAACGCCGGATCTGGAAACAAATTTGATTTAGCATCATTAATAAGAAGCACCTTATACATAGCTCAACGATAAATGTTGAAGGTTTTCTGCAGCACTGTCAAGCATACCATGGTATTCAAAAACTCTCGCAAATATCATCTGAAATAGTATTGGTACTACTTACAGAGAGCAAGGCAATGTTGAAAAGAATTATCTAACATTCAAGCACTTCCGACTCAACTCATAATCCGCCTGAATTTCACAACGCCCGATCGTAATTGTTATCGTGTCACGAAGCAAAAATTACCCGGTCATTTGTATTGGAATCGAAATGAAAAATGGAAGATGCTTATAGGCTTATGATAAATAATATGTTACTGTCAATGGAGATGTATTCTTGAAGATCCAATGCAAACATCAATATTGAATAATTGTAATCCATGAAAATGGGCTTATTTTTCTGCAAACATGACGACCGCGTACAAATAGCAATTTGCCTTATACAGGGTGTTTCATATGTAAACCCGCCCCCTATAAACTCATACATGTAGCATCGCTACCCTATCATGTTATATATCATTCTTTTCTCCGTGGAAAGTTACATAAGATTGTAAAGTTTCAGAATCAAGGGATGTCCTTAAAAAGATACAATGTGTCAAAGTATGTCGGTATGGGGTCATTTAGAAGGTAATTTTTTGGTCATTTCAGTTCGGTGATCTATTCACTTTGCTACACAATTTTAGTGATTAAGGTTGTACCAGGGTCCCTGACCTCGCTATAAGTCACCGCATGAATCCTATCTATATGTTTTTGTGCATAACTGTTACACACATGTGGACTGAACTCTGCCATGACGAGAAGTGCTACAAATGTGCACTAAATTTTTCCTTTAAATTGCCCTCGAAATGACCAGAAATGACCCATAACCACATACTTTGGGACATCTTTTTTCATGGATATCCCTGGATTCTGAAACTTTATATAACTTTCAACAAGGAACAAAGTGATATATAACTTGACAGAGTGACAATACTACATATATGAGTTTATGGGGGGGGGGGTGCATACATTCAAAACAACCTGTATATGTATTTGTAGCTATTCCAAAGATATGTTAATGATATATTATTATACTTTAAAAGATATGAGCTACGAAATTGAACTTGCTAAAAATTCTTATTTCTTAAGTTAATAAGAGTACCCTGAAATCTTGGGAATACTATAGACAAAAATATGGGTTTGCTATTTTTGAAGATACCCCTCTTGGAATAGGTTTCCTAGTCATTTGTTACTTGTGACCCCTTTATTTTGAGGTAATGACCAAATATGAACATGGCAAATATCCTTTCATATCCTCAAAAACAAAGAAATAATCATATCTCCGAGAAAGACAATTCTAAGACAAACACTTTGATATAATAAAAGCCATATACATGTTTAGAATTAATAGTAATTAATATTATTTAGTTGTTCTAAATACTTGTTTACGGATCACAATCTTTGTTGACCATGCTGATTGTTCAAGAATATGTTTGTGCTAGATCATATTGGAACTTCTGATGGACTGGAATAATCTTTAGAAACAGTTATGGGATGTTTGTCTCGGTTCGGTAATAGTTCGGAAATGACCCAGCACTGATTCTTAACGCACGTTAAGGAGCCGTCCATTAGTTTGTTTAATTTTCTAAATGAAAACAGAAAGTAAGGTCGGCGTAATTTGTTTGGATATATGTTTGCATGGGTGCCAAAATGCGGAGAGAAGACTAAATATTGTTACAAAGCACGAAATGAATTTACTTTGAGGACAATCAGTTATACGAAAAACAAGGTCCCGATATCCCAAGCTATGTTTTAACGCATATAAGACCCCCTCCCCATCATCATAGGAATTACCATCACTATGATTAGTCCATTGGACTTACATTTCATTCATACCGATATCATTTCGAAACATGTTGAAGAACAACAAAGCAGTTAACTTGTCAAATCGCTTTTTCAAAGGTCTTTGACGTCATTTATATGTTCTTTTCCAAGAAAACCCCTCAACTATGTTAAGGAGGAAAACGCTTTACAAATTTATCGATGGATCCCTAATGCAAAATAAATCAATTCTTTGTTTTCTCTGGTGTGTTTTGAAAGTCAAACACTGAAGACTCGCGTGATGAAAATATCGAACATCAATAAGTCAAAAATCAAAACAACTTTTATTTGCAGGGTCATTTGGTATCATAAACACGCTTGAATGGGTCAATCAATGTAAAATCAAATATATGATTAATGTGAACCGTGTACATCGTAACCGTCAATGCTGAATTAAGGTCAAACAACAAATGTTAAATTAAGGTCAAAACTTTTTTTGTACAGGAACGACAAATCAAATGTTTATAGGTATTGAGATACTATTAATCACAAATATAACTAATACATAGTCTAATATATACCGGGTGGGCATAAAGAATGGGCCGTACTTCGGCAGCTGATATCGCCCAAATCCTCTTACCTCTACTTCTAAAAAATTTGCACATATGTGAAACTAGTTATCCCCCTGATATACAAAATTTCTGATAATGGGATCAACATCAAAAACACGAGTCAAAGACGCATGTTCCGGATAATTTCAAGATGACGTCAATCCTAGTTACACTTGAAGACAGATCAATTGGTCGTCCATCTTCTCTGAGGATGGAACACAAATAGTTTTTCATGAGATGATTGAGTTTCAAAATAATGCACTTTAGTCTATTGTTCAATTTTCAAGGTGATAGCTTGATACGGAGTTTTGATTAAACCAAATAACCATTCGCGACCAGAAGTTGAATAACTAAGGTCTTTTTAAGGTCTTTGCTGAACACCTTCCGACTATGAACACTGACCAGTCATTGAAATATTGATCTGTCTAATCTCAACTATCTTAACTCAAATGTCTTCGATTTAATAAATTAATGGTCTTAATCATAATGGGTCGTTAGATAACATGACGAAATCCATTTGAATCGAATTTTCAAATTACTGGAATGCCATAATATAAAGCTAGAACTACAAATGGTTTTTGAGAGCATTTCCTCGTATTTCCTCAAAATCCAGAATATTGCGAATGCAACTTCGAAATATGAGCACATCCTAATCCGAACGCCCTTAACTGGTTCAAGAGGTATTCGGATTAGACAGGTTTTACTGTACACAGACGTTGGAGATTTATCTTATTTTAGAATATGTGTCTAATAAATAATCTTGTCATCGTGCCACGATTCTTTCTTCAAAATCCATTTATTTTCAGATTTTACTCAGATAACCCCAACTTTTTTCTAATCACTATTGAAATTTAAGCAATAAATGGTTTTGTTTGGACAGGTACTTGGTGTGATTGAGTAGTATGGCGAGTGGAGTAATAATGAGGACATGGACAGTGATCAATCAATAATTATATATTAGGCTGAGTGTTGATAGCACCATCGCATTTGTTTAATTTGCTTAATTATCTGAAGTTGGTGGAAGTGATTCAACCAAGGCTAAATGTGTTTTATGACCCCTCATTTATCTAGGAATCGTTTTCTTCATACGAAATTCATTTGTAAACAAACTATAATGATGAGAAACACGATGGATAGTGACAATCACATTCTCTACCGTGCTCCTTTAAGATAAGATATGAGATGCGATAACTATTGTTAGGGTAGCAAATTGTTTTAAATCCAGGTGAAATGCGTTTTTATACATTACAACTCATTTCACGGACAATCATTTGAATCTCACGTGTTGACAGACCATGAATTGAAGAGGCATGGGAGTTTGGAATCACCTGCAACATCTACTGTGCTCCTTTAAGATAAGAGATGCGATGGCTATAATCAGGCCAACTCGACATTATTTGAATCCAAATTGAATGCACCTCGTATAAATCTTTTCTAGAACCCTCAATACATTGTTTGGACACTTATTGAAAACAAACCTTATGACAAGAGATGATAACTATAGTCAGGGGAAGTGAATAGACTTATGTTGTCATTGTTGAAGACTCTTTATTATCTTCTGTAAATATTTCGCAAATAGGATTCAATTCAATAAAAAAAATACGGTGCTATGCTCTGTATGTGATTGATGTAGGTTAATTGATATACTCATAAAAGTTTGTTCTCAGGAATTCTTTCCATCATTCGAAATACTGTCGTTAAAACTATTTCAAGATACGAGAAACATTATTTTCGTACTTTTTGATGTGTTCATGTTTATACTAGTTCGAGTCGTACTAAAACGCTTCCTAAGTGTAAAATATTCCAAACAGCTGAAGTTTGCAGATATTTTGATTTCAACGTTTACAAACACACTTCATGTTTTATCTGTCGATTGGCATGCTCTGACCACACATGATAGAGCAAACCCCAACATCACTCTATTTCATCGATCCCAACGATCAGGAATGAGTTATTCACTAAATAGAACCAAAACTGCAAAATATCCCAATGGGGATTGAGAATGGAAAGGGAAAACGCGATCAAAGGGATTCAAACAAATTGATCATTTGCAATGCAAGTTACATTACAGACAATGCGAGTGAAATAGTAGGCAAATTAATTAAATCATGAAATATTGCGAGAATTTCTTATTATAATCAATCCCTACTATTTGGGTCTATGTCGCCGTTGTGAAAAGCAGGCGTGACGTAACACTTGTGGAGATCAAACATATGATTTAATTTAAACGCCGTCGGTTCATCGATGCCAAGATCATAGTTGAGATATTCGATCGTATTCGCATTTTGATATATCAGAATAATCGAATTTAAATAATAGATTTTCTGTCAGATGTATTGTTGCGAAGCTAAAATGAACTAGGCAGGTAATATGCTTTGTATCATGTTTGCCCGTTTGACAGAAATAAATGGTAAAATTATGGGGAAGATGTCAGTTTCTAACAGCACGATATTGCATTAAAATATGAAATTAATCATTTTAGACAAAGGTCATATGTTCTGTTGATGTATATACTACTTAAAACCCTTCTTTGCCTATCATTAAAGCCATGAACTTCAACAAAATTACAAGTTTGGTTTCATCTGAATTCTCCACCGTACTTTCTATAGTCATTACGTAAGTAATATGGGGCCATTGCGAGAGCACTTCTTTATTTAAACATGATTGATTGTTTCAGGGTTCAAAAAGAATGCAAGCTGAAAAATGAAGGATATATTTTGTAATATAGCAAAATAACCTCATCGGGAATGATAGATGGTATTTTACATTCGACTTGGAATGAATATGATCTTGATTTTAGGTGCAATTTCTCAATTAGCTCATCTCTACACCAATCTTCTGGTTCCTATTTGCAAACATGAGAGACATGGTGGTAAAGCATGTCAAATAATTATTTTCTGTCGACAAACTCCGTTCCAGGAACTGTCTAGCATTGACAGCCAACATCTTTTACGTACTTCCGTTTCGGTAATAACTACGTTAAGATTGATAAAAGTCGTTATGTTCCTTAATATATTGACTATACTCTATCAACCAGCGTTTCATTTTCTATGATTGCTTAGACATCGGCGCAAAATATTTATAGATCTCTCCCTACTTCTCCCCTAGCCTGGTGATAAATTTAGTACACATGGTATCGTCAATGGATCCAGGGACTTAAAGGTGTTAAGTCGCGAACTCTTTATCCTATATTACTAAATTAAAAACTCTTTATGCCTGCTGCAATTCGCACCATTGACAGGCATTTATTAAACTCTTCTTTCCAATAAAATCATCATTAAAGAAATGTGTTATTCTATTTTTTAATTTAATTTTGGTGAATTTTAGGATCAGGATAGGGCACTTAAGCTCCTTTAAAACTCCCTCTATATTCGCGTTGGATCAAACCTCTCACTCTATGGGTTAAAATATTGTTATGTTAAAAGGGAATACCCATACTGTGTACCAGGTGTGAAGCTATTTCTTTTCATTCTATGAGGGAAACTATAGAACGTAGAACATATGAGACAGTTTGTACCCATGCGGAATGATGTTTCCTTGGAGCAATCATACACATCATTGAATCTTCATCTTGAAACCTGGTTCAAAGATTTACATCAGTTTTACGTGTATTCTCCTTCGAGAGACATATTTCTCCCCCGGGATACATTACATATATTTGAAAAGCTCCTTTACTTTAAAGTACCACAGGGGCTTAACACACAGTAAGCCTTTTTTCTTTATAATTAACAATTTGCAAGTAATTGGCATATTACTGTCAGGTCGATTCTTTAAGAAATAGTTGCGTTCATCCGTGAAAGGTTCGCAAGTATAAGCTTTGATGATTCTTATATAAACTTAAAAGGGTATATACGAGACTAGTATACACTGTCGGATCCAGGGGCATGCCTCCCCCCCCCCCCAGGAAAAAAATCCAGCCCAAATATTTTGTAGGGCCTCAATAATTAGGCCTCTTTGGGCATTACTTGGCCTCCTTTTGGGCCTTATTTATGCCAAATTACTGAAAGTGGGCCTTATATTTTCAAAAAGACAAGTCTCGTATGGAAAATAGTCTACTGGGCTAAAAATATAGAAATAACACCAAAATTAAATGATGAATATTCATATGAGGACAATTAAATCTACAATATGTAAAAATATCAAAATTGTCCGAAGCAGGGGTAACGTGCAGTGGACCGATTCAATAAAGGACACGAATTGTGGTTTTAGGGCCCGTTTTTTCTGACTTAAAATGTGGACCCCTGCTTCACTTCTTGGTCCGCCAATGGTATATTAAACTGATAGAGCTTCACTCGTGTGTGTTTTAGTTACTTCTATCGATTGTAACTAGTGATGGCACATACACAATCGTGTTGATTCTAGTCTAATTACGAATAAATGAAACTTTGTCGTGTCTCTAAACTAAATCATTAAACATACATTTCATGTTAGGGTCAGGACAGTTAAAAAGTAAAAAAAATGTATTGCAATACAAATACAATTTTTGAATTGAGTATGAAATAATTACCAATTTCAAATGTCAATGAGAGTCGCTTTGGAAGTAACTTGAGTATATTGTTATTCAATGTAGATGTCAACATACAGTTTATCACACGGATATGTTTCAAATAAACACCAAATCACTATTGACTGTATAACTGTCAAATTAATCTTTATAAATGGTTAATATAGGTTTTCTGAATGAAAGTCGTCATTGATCAAATCAAGCATTATAGAATGGTTATAGTTATTCGTCTGGTGATCATAAAACTGACGCTATAAAGTTGTTTATTTCTTCTGTTTACTTCTTACCAATTCCTTTGATCTGCTAGATTACGCCGTTGAACAGTTAAACACTGACATTGCATGACTTCATTTTTATGTTTAAATATGCATGACGTCGGGGAGAATTGTTAAAATTATGATTTTCATGTTTTGCATGCCAAGCTACGTGTTTCTGTGATTAATCGTTCGGATTAAAAATGGATTTTACTTGTTCGTCTAATTGATCAGCGATTATATTTAATCAGTTTTAATGGATTTCTATGTCTGAAACATTCAGCCTTTTGATATCTCAAAAAATTAATTGTAAACAATAATTCCAATAATTGACACAACTATGACGATATGACATAATTATATCGTGTACATACATTCTACTGTTACAATGCCTATATTGGCTAAGTGATGATATATTATGTTTTTATTGTATATATTTAGCTTCCAGGGCAAATATCATAATCAAGAGCTATAAATCTATTTTATTGGCTAATATAATATGATACTTATTTTGAGATGTGAACTTATTGCGATACATGAATTAGAATAGTCTCGAAGTGTGAGGTTATTATGTAATACGGTTCCTTAGTAATAGATAACAGTGTATATCGGACACTACTCTATTGCCACAGTGTAACATTAATGATATCATCGTCTCCACAAAGAAATATGAAAATAGGACTTGTAAATTCTAAGATCACAAAACCCTAGATTGCGAGATCTCCTTGATCACTAAACCGAATACAAATTATAATGGCATCCACCGCCATAAGGGATTGAGATGATATTATTTATTATGATGTATAACAACTGCTACAATAAAATAACATCCATTATAATTCAATAGAGGGATTGAGCGAGAGATGGATATGAGAGATGCGTATTTTGTTCACGCTGACTTTCCTAATTTGGTTATCATTCGCACAACCTGGTGTATCTAAAACGTCAATTCCAAATGGTATATTGACGTTATCGCAATGGATTCATTCAAATCAACTCTGTTTTGCTTCTTTCAAATGTAATTTTCAACAGTGTTTCTCGTTAAACCCAGACTTTCTAAACTACATCTCAAATTGCGCATTGAATTCTTGATATAACAGGTACCATGTTCCGAATAAGAGATGAACAAAATGTCCTAATTACGTTGAACTCAGACACATCCAGTGAATAAAATATAGAACCTCGACACACATCTCATTTTGAGTTATTGTTGGGGGATCCAATCAGCCTGGTTTATCTATATAATTACACTTAACATATTGCTCCTTTGAGATTGTACAGCCCTTATATTGTCTAATAACTTATTTGAAAAGTATTTGTTTCTCTCGAATTATTGAGAAGATGAATTGAATGTTTAGTCTATTTAAGTAAAGTATCTGTGGTAATTGAATCAACTCTCACATGAAATGTAATATTACTCTTCCCCTACTGAGGTCCCGTCTATTATGTCTTGGTCCAAAATGACGTACCGGTGATCACTGTATTGCATACTCATCGAAACGGGTGTCATTACGGGATACATATTTCATTTGATACAAATAAATAGCCTTTAGAATGGAACAATATTTTAAATCAACTTTGTTTGGATTAAAAAGTTTTTACTTACGCGTATAGTTAACGTTATTATCGTAGACCCAGAGTATTTGACATATGAAGAACGGTGACCAGCACAACAGGTAAGCAATGACAACTACAAATGTCAATTTTATCGTCTTCATTTTTGCCTTGGATAATCTCCTGAGCGAGTGCATTCTTGAGTGAACAGCATTTTGTTGGACGATACTTTGCCGGGCCTTTTGCTTGTTCTTCAGGCCTTGGTAGATGTTATTAGTTTTGTCAAATTTGAACACCATAATGGCGTTAATACCAGGAGCCTCTTCAGAGGCGGTGCCCCATCGTACTGTGTCCCACACTTTGCAGCAGATGCTCCCATACGTGAACACGAGAATCAGAAAAGGAATAATAAACACGAGAACAGTGAATATTGTGATGTATGTTTTGGCAAGATGGTCGCTTGGTGCATCGGGGAACCTTGCCCAACAGTCGTATACCCCAGTTTGGTTGCCAACGTCCCGCTTGGCAAATATCAACAATTGAGGGATACTAAATAAGAATGAGAGCATGTACGCTACGAATACCATCAAATGTACCTTCCGTGGCGTCCACGAGTAGTTTGAGAGTGGGTGACAAATTGCCAAGAATCTGTCTATCGCTGTCATAACGAGAATATACGTAGACAGATACATGACGCTCACCTGAAAATACTTGACTATTTTACATAAAAAGTCTCCACCCTGGAAACGATATGTCACTTCCCATACCATCTGAGGCAAAATATTTAGAAATGCAACTAACAAATCCGCGACACTCAGGTGCATTATAAACATATGCATCCTTCCTTTTTTCTTATTTGTTCTAAGCGCTATTAACACAGAAGTGTTTCCAAATATTGCTAATATAAATATCACTGCTAAAACTCCTATTTCAATCTTTGCTAACTCTTCATCTCTTGCGAATGGATACATCGTTATGTTTTTGTTGTTATCTTTATCATCTATAGTTAAGTTGTCTGTTTCCCTGTGTGTTGTGCCTTCTTCCCAAGGACCCAGCGAAGTATTGAGTGGATCGCTCATCCTACTCGCTTTATAATAGTAATTCATCCGACAAATGACGACTGTTTACAGGTCATCGATAAGTTCACGTCGATCAAAATCGCTTTTCTCATCTCTCTAGAGAATAAGACACGAAAATGTTGCATCTGCAAAACATTAAAAGAAATGTTAATAAATACGTGCTGAAAGAGCAATTGGTTCTCAAATGATCGTAAACAGTGTGTGTAATTTGTAAATTACATTCAGCGTTTTGTTTCCACTAACTAGATGCTGGTTCAATCAAACGGGAAAATTGCAATCGGTTGCTAGCTCCCGCAATATCGGAACGTCAGTGCGTCCGGACACCTCAAGGTAAAGTGCAGTAGCGAAATAGCATAAAGCGGTGGTTTCCAGTACTCCGTTATGAGTTTAATTAACAGGAGATCATATCCAGAGGTACTTACTACCAACCAATATAAAACCAGGGAAAATTAACCAATAAAAAATCATTGATACTCATCTTTTATTTAATACACACATAGATCTTCATTTAGTAGGTTTTTACGTCCACCAATGATATCAATCACTCATTAATTACCATACGTCTTGCAATTGGTACCCGTCTTGATTGAACCATTGGGAGAGAGAAAGTGTTTTAGAATCCTATTATTTGATATGGTGCAAATCTAATCGATTTAGATAATCATAAAACACAAGTGTTAACAACATACGTAACGTAAAAACCTTATCTAAAAATTAATTTGATAGCAGGCGGAGGAATGTAGAGATCAAATTAGATCAGTTGAAGTTGAACAGGAATGGAGAGAAAGTGTGCAAGTTTTCTATGATTGAACGAAGGGCAAAATATGGAACGTAGAAACTCACTGTTTAACAAATTGATTAAAACGAACTGATGGAACTTATCATCATCACATACATCTTAATATCACCTGTATGTACGGATAACTTCAGAATGTCTATTAATCTACGTTGAGTCAAAGAGTAGACTGCATTGGAGTTTGTATAACTCCGCATGAAAATAGCAGGAAATATGCAAACCACATTGCGGTCATCTTGGCTTTTGAGAGAGAAGAAAGTCCATGAAAAAAGACAGCTCTATCCGAGCAGATACAAACCAATGCATATATCCGCAATATTAGCATCCACTTCTTCAGTTGTGCAGAAAATCTTCAAATCCTCTAACACCTAGTAAACACATGCCAAAAGGGGAAGGACCTAAATGTATATTAGGGAATAAAGTGAAATACTACTACCAGTTTAACCATCAGGTGCACGTGGCTAATTCGGATCAAATAAAATGGCAGATATAGGAAAAGTGCCTTTAAACTTGATGTTCACTAGATTTATCGAATCAGTTTTCATACGTGGCCTTTTTGAGTTTGAGAAAACTGAAAATATGTTCAGTAAAAGATAATATGATAACTGTCCAATACAAGACATGATATTTCACCTTTTATGATTTCAACATTGGCTTCATTGGGAATCTGTCTAACCAAAATTGCAAATTTTGAAAGAACACGTTTTATATAGAATTCAAAAACTTGAATAAAGAATGACAAATATCAAGATCATTTCTACTTGCATCTAGTCTATTAGCGCAATCATACAAAAATTAAACAAATCCTCAAGAATCCCAATTATCCAACAAACAAAGAAGTGATTTCCAACGTTAACGCCATTTCCATTCTTTTCAGGAAGCATAACTACAATTCGAAACCTCAAGATCATATGACTTTTCATTCTTACCTAGCTTTGTGTGCCGACAGCCTTCCCGGAGTTGACGCGATGTTATGGATAATTTTACCTTACGCCTTATCAAATATTAGTAAACTGAATTTTGTTTCCCAGCTTCTCGTGTCTTGCGATTCTTCTTACTACTTTTGTATCTAATGCAAAAAGTTTGTAGCGCCTGGGATATGAAATAACGATGTACTCGGTTGTGATTTACAAGCATTGAACAAGAATTGAGTGGTTTTGGGGATTAGCAATGATTGACACGTTGAGACAAGGATGGGCAAAATTGTTATTACAAATGCCAAGAAACATTCAGATACATCTGTCTACAAGATGAATTACAAACTAATAACTCTTTGTCCATGACCTGACAATATTTTATCAATTTTGGCGATTGTAATGAAGTGATGTACAGGGTGCTTCATAATAAACTTCAAAGCTAATCCTATATTATCTGGCCCTTAATCTATATATCATTATAGAGCTTTTTCAATGCCTGAGTCACATTTGTTCCGATCCATCGGCCGACGTCAGGCCGATTGAGTATTTTGTTCAAAACTGAATACAAAATACTCAATTGTCCGGCCACCGGGCGATGAATCGGAGCAAATGTGACCCAGGTAATACTGACTACTAAAAGCTATAGATGTCACTATTTGTAAAGACATTGCAACAATCGAGAAAGGTTTACTCAGAGTCCCAAAGAACAGAGACAGAAGAATAAAAATTAAGCTTTTTGACCGTGTTTGTAATTATTTCAAATAATTCTAGATCATTATCCTAAAATAATCGAAAATGAGTGCAGTCCAACTTAAATTGATGAAAAAGTTGGAATGTTGTTTTTAATTCTGGAATTCGAAGGCGGTGGATCAAACTTGAGCTAAATAATGAATACCTTTACCATCTAATAAAACAAAAAGAATCATTACAAGAATACATCAAGCTTAGGCTGCTTTCGTTGACATTCACTAACCCTCTAATTAAATGAAATTGCAAGTTTATTTTTCATCGGATTTATGCTGATACGATGCGGAAAGGTTGAATGCTAACGTACTTTGGGTCACGGAAGCGTAATGATTTACTTTATAGTTTGATATGTTTTCTCATCAAGCTCCTAAATATGTTCCCGGAATATGTCCGAGAGTGTTTGAACTCGGTGACATAGTGGATGTTTATTTCTCAGACATACACTCCCATTCGACAGTTTGGCAACCCTGCATGACTCTTAAAAAATAGCCTGTAAGTGTCATTGAGTCTGAATTTTCGATAATTTTTTCAAATCGCCAAAAATCAAAACCGTTGAAATTCCAAAAGGAGGCTACAACCAATCTCTATTTGAAATATGCAAAAATAGGTCATTCCGTTCTTTGTCTTTCAAGTAAAGATTAAACATTTTCTGATAAATTCTACGTTATTTTTTAAATTGTAAAATGTCTTACTTTTATGTGCATCTTATTATTGTTTTCTCTGTTTTATTTCAAGAATTCAATTATGTTCCGATCCACCTTTTATAATTACCAAGAGCAATTTTTATTAATGATAGGTATGCCGTTATCTATAAATATTTATTTTATCAATTTATACCACAATTTATATGCTTTCGAGATGTTAATACTTTATTGATAACGAAAGTGAATATGTCCGCACATGAGAGAAAATGTCCAAAAGTGTAATAGAAGGCAGGTATAAAAGTAGAAGTAAGTATGATCAGCCATGCAATCTGCATACAAATCATCACTGTTATCTTATCCTGATCATTATTACGCAATATCGCTTCTTAGGATGCCATGCAACATGAAATAATTCAACGTTATTTCGTTATTCTGAGCAACAACAACAACAACACTATGGCCACAACCATTTCCGAAGCTTTCTATATCATTATAGTTTCCATCTTTGTTGGACTGTGTTTGGCGGTTGACGTCTGTAACAAACGGCAGGTAGTCATATTTTGCATGTTAATGCCTTGTTTAAGACAATTATTGCTGTAAGATGAAAATTATAACCAGATCATATATTACACTAGGTTTTAGAACACGTTACTCGTGCATCTTCCTTATTTGCCTTGTGACATAACTAGCATTCGAATGGAAATTAATTGTGTGTACCATATACGACCCGGGTGATCAGTATTCTGAGTTTAGAATTTCGTTCGAGCAAGTGAGTGTCCCGAATTATGTTTTTGCTGGATCCCGATAAATATGACGGCTAGTTGACAGCAGACGAGCCAGGTGTGGAAATATATTACATGTATAAAGTATAAGGTACAGAAGAAGGAAAGATATATTCCATGGACCGAGGAGGAATCTCCGAAGTCCCGAATAATCATACTTAGTGTGTAACATTGAGAACATTCATGCAGTATATTTACGATTGTGTCTTCTTGATGGACTGTATAATAAATATGCCTTGGTCCCAAAAATTGGAACACGATAATATTTAATTTCATAAATATATTATTAAACCGGGTCACCACAATCTTTCGGTATTTATTATTCAGAAGTATGAGTTAATCCAAAAGTTATCAAAGACCTCGTGGACTGCTGTGACCCTTGGTGACCCATGATGGGGTGACCTAAGGTCAAGGTCATTCCTAGGTATTTTGCGTTTGAAGACCTTGAGGGCTCTTTTGACCCTTGGCGACGCATGATTAGGTGACCTGAGGTCAAGTTCAATGTTTAAGGGTGAATGTCATTACCTAAGTATTTGACAATTTAAGGACCTTGGGGGCGGCTTTGGCCCTTGGCGACCCATGATAAGGTGACCTCGGGTCAATGTCATTCCAAGGTCAAATGTCAATATAAAGGTTTCTAGCGTTTTAAGGTAGTTCAGTATCAAGTTTGATTACTATGTATCCCGGCCTTGATTCAGAAAGTTGGAAAACATAAAAGAATTTTATTGAATTCCGCTCACGCATTACACTACTTACATTTCTATATAGAATTTACATTGAACCTTCCTGCTAAAGCGACTCACTAGAAAAATAGATAACTGTAACTTCTAATTTTGTATTTCAATCAGTTAATGTGGCATTAATAACAAATACTCTTTATTATATACATGCCAGTTGTCGAGATGACAATGAGCAGGCTATACTCTTCATAAGTGTGTATTACCTGAATGAAAACACAATTTTGACGATCTTTTAAATATATAATTATATATAATTCAAATATATAATTAAAGGAATAATCTAACCCTACATTTTCTATCGCGATATCATTTAATACATAATAATGGATTACCTAATTAAGGTTCTTACAAGTATTTTGAAAAAATATATTTCAGCCTCAGATCTAGAGCCAATGATCATCCCACATAATCTAAATATATCATATTGAATGTCATTGACTTAGTTTCTAGTGTCTCTAATCTATACTTTGAAAAGGTTCCCGTCTACATAAAAACTATAGTCCAACTTCGACCTTTTGGAAAGCGTGCATGATTATAATAATCGCAATGGTAGATGATGACTGCGACCGGTGATATATCGCAAAGACTTTTGAAATAAACCTTCATTAAATCCAGGAAAACTGCTAGAGCTTTGAAATAACATGGTAGGTCTGATAATCTATTTTCAGATCCTTGGTGATTGGAAGCTATATATCACGAAAATGGGGATCACTGTGACTAGAACACGTGAATTCATAGATTAATTC